CCTCATGGGTGCTTTGTAATCAAATAAGGAGTTGTCTGTCAGTCGAGTGTTGCAAGTCTAGTTTGTGCAGACCGATTTTTTAGTTTTGCCTTGACGATCTAATGGGCAGAACAATAGCTCATTACGTGTGTTTTTTGTTTTTGTTTTAAACTTTGCACATTTCTTAACCGTCCTCGGCAGAACAACAACAACAACAACGTGAAATCACCAAATTTTGCGCAGTCTGAAAAGGGAAACCCAGACGGCAAATTATTTAAGTTTCCGTCAGGAACTCAACGCTCCTTGCACACGTTATGCCGAAGTTAAGGTGCGGCGCTGTAAGAAACAGTAACCCCCAGCCATTCGCATATTTCTAACTTAAATTGTGATCTGTGGTTGCTCAATTTCGATACGTCCAAAGAGAGAAGTCGTCCGAAACAGTTTGTAACCTTTTTTTATGACGAAAATTAAGTCATTCTTGACTGACACATGGTAGTCACTTTCGGCATGATATACCTATTATTACACGACTCGGGCAGTCAGAGGGCCCATTACTAAAATCAACCAATCAAAATGCTCTATTGCCGGTCAACATTCTCTCAGTATTGGACCGGGCACTGTCCCGAAGGGTCCCGAAAGATACCGCACTTGTGTCCCTTTGAACTTCATTCGTATAATAAATCTCTTCTAAACCAAGCTTGCTCGGGACCGTACTGGAAATATATCGGCCTTCGGTCTTTTTTGTACGGACCTCGCTGCGCTCTGTCCGTACTGTCAAGACCTCGGGCCGATATTCTCCAAGTTCGGCCCTCGCGCTTGGTTAATAAGATATATTTAAAAACTACCTGTCTTTAATGAAACTCGGACATCCTTCATTCTTCCATGATATCCAGTTTTCTTCTCTTTCGAGGATGTGCTGTGTTTAAAAAAAAAATGTTTAGAATTTATACGTGGTTTACTGGATGCTTCTGAAACGATATCTCTAACCCAAAAACTAGCCGATTTTGCAACGGGAAACGAGATCCTACATCTGAAAATGCTTTGCCATATTACGAAGACAATGTTCATTAATTCAACATATTATTCGAGCAATTTTCAATTGAGCGTCGAAAGTAATCCTAGATTTCTTAGGTTTTCCTTCACTTTGCTCTCTGATTGGCGTAGAGAGCTCGCGCCACACTCTTAACCAATCAAATTCAAAACTAAAACCGGTCGCGACACTTCCACTCACTATTTCCCGCGCTTTGAGCAATTTTCTTGTTTTTATTTTGAGTTCTAATTGGTTGATATCTTCCTCCGCTCTGATTGGCGCAATAATTTTGTTACTTACACGATGATGCTCAGGTTTGTAGAAATCTAGAACCACACACTTAGGTCAAAATTTAAACTTAAGTTTCCAAGTTTTTCATTTGTAATTCGTGCTAATCATTCTCAGTTATCTTTGTTCCCTCTTGATTTGATTTCGGTCCGTTGTTTCTTTTTTCTTAATCAAAAAATTTCTTGTAAGGTTCTATAGCTGATGTTTCGAGCTTCAAGGGTTAGCGCTCGAAACGGCCAAGTTACATTATCAACTCTGATGATAAAACCGAACTATTCTGTTATACTCCCCCCCCCGCACCGAAGCAGCATCACAATTTCTTTAGAAACTCCCCCCCTCACCGAAGCAGCATCGCAGTTTCCTTAGAAACCCCCCCCCCCCATTTTTATTTCTTGCAAGCTTCTTATTGTTCACGTTTTTGGGTCACAAAACGGCCTTCAAAAATTGCGACCCGGTGACTTAACTCTCTCACCTAAATTGTAAAATCACGTAAATCTAACGGCCTGATAATTTAAAGGCAAGTCTTCGATCACTTTCCAGGGTTCTTAACCTCGAAAATCAAAAATGATAGTAACTCATCAGAAAATGTTTCGGTTGCACAACTACATCCACATGTAATATAACACATACCTCAACAGTCTTGGCAAATTTATCGCCATCTGGTGGTGTTTCCCTCAACAACTGCAATAAGCACAACAAATTCATATTACGGCAAAATTTTTTAAAAAGTTTTCATACAGTTCAGAGCCACTTTAACTTTTTAATACTTTAACTTTTTAGTAATTTAACTAAGTTGGTAACATTCCTAAATAAGATGCCAAGAAAAGAAGCCTTACTTCATATACTTGAGATGTTGCATCCTTAATCCATGTGGATTGAGACTCGCTTAGTACCTGGTTTGTGCTGAGTTATGAAACACAAGAAAAGAACCAGAAATAATTCAGAAATAAATCAAATCTCTTTTGAGTTTGTAACTGATGGGAATAACAAACGGAATGGGTTTTTTTGTCCGCTACTTTCCGGTCAAATTGTTTTTGAAACTGAATTGTCATTCGACGCAGTGATTTGTTTTGTTTTGATTTTTTGGACCATTACCAAATAGATTCATTGTCCATATTTAACGTTGTCTGCAAAAAAAATTTATTTGAACTCAGTAGACAAACGCATCACCGTAATATATTTTAATTTATAATTATTGTAAATTGTAGGCACGGAAAAACTGCATGTGTCCTGGTGAAACTCATCCAAAACTAACTTGAAAAAAAAGATATGAAGGCCTTTGCTACGAAAGTAGAAAATAAATGAGGGAAAACAAGTGCTAATGAGAAATTCAGAGAAATAAATCACCTTTTGAACTTAACATTACCAGCAAGGTACTGATATATTATCAACATTTGTACAAGGATCTGAAAGAGAGAAAGAAAGAAAGGTTACTGTGTATGGCTAAATCGGATTTGACGTATAAGCAATCAAATGACATATAGTGTTGATAAATAACCATCTTCGAGAAAAGTAGAAGTAAAACAAAAGGAGCCTCTGGCAGCTCTTTCTAGAAGAAGCCTCTACGAAATTTTTAACGTTGCATAGATTGTACAATGATTTACTTACAGTTCTCCTGAAGTTACTGTCACTTAGTTGAAGATCAAGGAGCTTTATTCGCACGGCAAAAAGATAAAAAAAAAAAAATGTTAGCTACTCGTTTACAGCATTACAAAGATCATAGGCAGACACTCGCAATTAATTCAATTGTCAATTACCTTCTCGTTCGTAAGAAACTTGGCAAAATAGCGAGCCAGATCCTTGCTGTCACTGGTAAAAAAAAAGAAAAAAATTGACACGTTCTTACAGTCACGTAAATGAAACATGCTTACATTGTACGTTCGAATATTACATCAACTGACAGGCTCGTCGTAGACGAAACTAAATAAAGTTTTATAGAGCAACGTTCATTTGATAAATTGAAAGTAAAAAAAAATATCAGGATTTTCCCAAATAAGGCCACTGTAAGTTGACAGACAATTTAGCCAGGAAAATTACCATAAATAACAAGTTTGAACAGCTGATGTTTCAAGCACTGGACCCTCATCATATTTAAAAGCGTATTTTTTTATGAACACCATTCTAAACCACTACTAGAACATGCCTCCTGTGCAAAACATTTCGTCTAGTGAACAGGTTACATGAAGCCTACTTGGTATGCGCGAGATTCAGCGTAGCGAATACATTTGGTCACCATATTGGACGGCTGGAAGATCTGGGACGAGTGAAGCCCATTATGGCGACCAAAGCAGGCTAGGTTACATGTAGTCAGCTCCTCTACGATACAAATACTATACCTCCCTTGGAGATCCTTAAATTCCTTGGCTTTCTTTTTCCATGTAACATGTTCTAACTTGACACTTCTAAACACATTTAGAACTTCTTTTGTATACTAGAGGAGTAAAAATAGTGATGCAATTAAAAAGTTTTCACCTAAAAACCGATAGCTTGATTTTTATACTTAACAATTATTCGCCGAAGGTGAGGTGAATATCGTCGAATAATCCCCGAGATGAAGTCGAGGGGATTATTCGATAATATTCACCGAACCTGAGGCGAATAATTGTTTTAGTATAATTTCAGAGCTGAATAACAGAGAAATTTCTAAAATCATAACATTTTAGTAACATTTATTAACCTTTTATTTTAACATTTTATATAAACCGCGTGGAGCGGTTTATATAGCGTCATATAAGGAACCGCTCGACCAATCAGATCGCTGGAAACTCTTTCCTCAGCTCTGAAATTATACTAATAATCAATAATGATTCTTATATATAAATCCTGAGATATGCAATTAGTTGTTTATCAATCAGAAACCCTTTTAGTTTTCTATAAATTGGAAATAAAGTGCTGTGGGTTTTCTTCTTACTTAATATGTAAATCTTTGGCACATGAACACTAGTTCACCATGCAATAAATGAATGGTTGTGACTTAAATGGATACTCCAAAATCAGGTTTCCAAGTAAGGACTGGAACTGAATAATTTATTTTTTGGTAAATAATGAAGTAAAAGGCAATAATGGTTTCAGTCCTTACTCGGAAACCTGACTTTGGAGTATCCATTTAAGTCACAACCGTAAATGAATACTTAGACAAAAGAACAAAATTAGTATGTGTAAAGTATATGTAAAATAAAAGACCTTTTAAGTAAAAACTCTAGAAGAAAAACATGTATCTATTAACCATTTAACCTTTAAGAGTGACTAACATCTAATTTCTCCTTAAAAAAATCACCCCTGAATCACATATTATAGTTACGAGAATAAAGGAAAGGATCACCAACTGAAGAAGCAACTCTCAGTTGATTGTTAAACAAATTCTCCTTGTCAGCACCTTAGGAAATAAATTATATGGATTACAGTATGGAGAATATGCATGCTGATGTTAGGGAGTAAAAGGTTAACCCCTGAACCCCTTCGTGTAACAATAACCATTAATTTCTCCTTTCTGTATCACCCCTGAATAAAACACTGAGGTCACAAGGACAAAGGACGTAAAGGATTAATTCTAAAACAGAGTTTACACACCTGTGTAAATGTTTTCCAGGCCAAAGTAGTATAACACTGAGTGGGATTACGGAAATAATCTTGTAACGCCCAAAATTTCTTGTACAGGTTGAAGTCTATTGGGACAGTACTGCAGAATAAAATCAAATTGTAAATAATCTCCACCCTTGAACTCCTAAGGGTGACTAGCAAAATCACCCCTGAACCACACTTTAATTAAGGTCAGTGCAGGAATAAAGGAAATGTAATTGCTGCTAGGATCGGCAATGCTGATAGCATCATATTTTGTAAATAGAATAAGAAAGATGGTTAGTTTTGAGCTTGGTAAAGAAATAGAGACATTTACCAAGCTCAAAACTTACCATCTTTCTTATTCTAATTATCAAACTAGTTTTCACTCCTTTTAAAATTGAAAACATGTTTAGTGTTAAAGATCATACTCCTGGTGCTCTAAAATCCATGATGGTAGTTTACCAATTTTCTTGTGCGGGATGTAATTCCCATTATATTGGCCAAACTAGTCGCCACTTATCTACTAGGATAAAGGAGCACACGGAAAGCGATAAAAACTCGCATATTTTTAAGCATTTCAACACATCTCCTTCTTGTAAGAACAAATACTCCCCTTGCTTGTTTTAGTATTCTGGATTCTGCTAACAACTCAGTTGATTTAAAACTCAAAGAAGCTTTTTATATAAATAAGATAAAACCTGAACTTAACAAACAATTACAGCATTATAACACTTTTCTAGCATTTTAGTTTACACCTTGATGTTTTGGTGTCACCTAATTAGTAGCCACTTTTGTATTACATCATTTTGTAAATAATTTATTTATCTACTTGTATACTATATAATTGTTCACACCCAGTTAATCACTGACTGAAGATGGCATATGCATGCCGAAACATGTCTTTCAAAAAAGTTGTATATTTCTTACAATATCTATCATACTTGCTATTATTGCGACATTTCTTATTCTATTTACAAAACATTATGCTATCAACATTGCCAATCCTGGTAGTATGCAGGAAGCATGTCATTAATTTTATGCATTTACTGATGGACCTTGCTCACAATGGAGTGCAAAATCTGAAGGTCCAAGGTTCAATTCTTCATGGACAATTGGAATTTTTTCTTTGACCCTCCCTTGTGACAAGACGAAAAACATCTTTCCCCAATGAAGGAAATGATCATCAACTAATGAAGCTCTTGATTTTTAAAAAAAATATCTTCTTTTCAGCTCCTTAAAAAATGTCTATAGAACAGTATGGAAAATATGCCAACTGATTTTTGAGTGTAAAGGTTAAAGTAGATGATATTTTTTGAAAATTGTCAAATTTACTACTTATTTAATACCTTGTTGTTAATTCCCCGGCCTCTCTGCCATCTACTTCCATTTCACTTCCAATAGCTTTGTCCTATAATTATAGTTATATTCAAAAGCAGCTGTGATGTGCAGTACATTGCCTTACGACACCAAAATGTATCACTCATAACCAACCTAATTAGCCAGCTTAAATTGTTTAATGTTATCAGTTACATCAGAATTACCTTCAGTTCAGCTGTTGTTTGTTTTGTATATGTTGTGACATTTTCATAATTAAACTGACTCATTAAATTCAGACCTGAAGAGGAAAGAGAGCAAAAATAAAAGACTTCAACATCACTTTCTGAGATGTTACTAACAGTAACTGTAAACACTGGCAGATAAGCTGCACTTGTAAGACAAACCACATCTCTAGTTGGAAAACTCAAACTTGAAACAAAAAATTAATGTTCTTGAAAAGAAGTTCAAAGAAATCAGTTGTGGAGTTTTGAGAAAGTAGTTTTGCTTTGGTTGCTTCATTTCACATACACCCCTGTAAACTAACGTGTACATTGAAAATGAAGAAAGCTTTGAATCCTCACCTTCAGATAGTATGGACATCATATCTACAAACTTAATTTATGGTTGATCTCACCCTGGTAGATGGCTAGTACTGTAGTTTTGAAAATGTTTGCAAAATAAAATTGCATTACGACTTTGAAAACAAATTTCAGGGTTTGCACACTTTTGAGCTGTAAACATCCCATGACTTTCCATGTTTTTTTTGTTTTTTTTTTTGACTTTTAAAAAATTTCCATGACCTAAGTTAAGCAAGTGTACTCGTCTGATTGGTTCATTCTAAATGGCACCCTAATTTCTACAAAGCCATGCACAAATGCAGTGTAAACAAAAATTTCTGCAATCGTGGATCTTGCAACACTTGCTAATGCTTATTTCTACTGAAATTTAATCTTATTTTTTGTGGTCAAATTTTCAACTTTATAACTATATTGCTTGCACTCATGGAAAGCCTGCTGATTTTCCATGACTTTTCATGATTTTCAAGGAGCAAAACCATTCAAGCACAATGAGACACATTAATAGGCCCTTCTCATTTGAAAGTACCTCTTTTTTAAAGTGCAGAACAGATAGAGCCTTTTTTTACATGTACCATTTTTCCTTCATAGATCACAGAGGATACGAAAAAAAAATTTCCACACAGAAATAATTTCTAGCTCACCTGATTTTTCAGAAAGAGGAAACAGCCTTGCTAGGAACAATTGAATTCTTCCACAAAATACTGTGTTCTGGGAAGTTGATAACCGACGCAGCAAGTCTGAAAAAGTTCATCATTAAATGTGGTTTCGGTCATGGAAAGGCTTTCTGATATATGTCAACACTTAAACTCCCACGAGTGACCAAGACAGAATTTTCCTTTAAATTATCAAATTACAATACAATTGTTTTGCACAGAATTATTTTTAGTCCCTGTCTGGTTGTAACGTCCCTAGGGGCATATTTCTATAAAAGAGATAATACACTTCGAAACTTGAGACGGGACGCTATCTCGTTAATAGTCTCTAAGTATGAACAGAGCAAGAATCGTAACATGAAAACAAAATTTACTTTGGGAAAGGAATACAGAATTGTAAGTACAACTAAAACGTATTTTGCTGTTTGAATCAGTTCAGGGACATTGTGGCACAGTGTCTGAAAGTGATCAGTTTGACTCTATATATGCTTCTAGAAAGAAGGAGTGCAGAAATAAATTCCACATATTTCCCAAGCTGTTGAGATCTAATACAAGTTCAAAACAACAATATCAAGCAGGCAGGTGATAAAGATAAAGAAAATTAAGGTCAATTTGTGGATTATCAGTTGATCCAAGAAAGGCAACCGGTGTGATTGCCGGAACCGTAGAGGAATAATACTCCTATCAGTGCCAGGAAAGGTTCTTTATAAAGTCATCTTGGAGAGACTGAGCACTGCTGTGGATGATAAGCTGCGGGTGCTTATCAGCTTTTCCTACCAAAAGGGTGAGCACACGCTTAATCAAATAAATACCCTAAGGGTAGTAGAATACTGCTATGGAGACTGAAAAACTCACCGTTACACATCCTAAGGAGAAGGTTCTTTCCAGCAGAAAAAAATAATGGCTGAAATCCAATTGAAATAAGATTAAGCTACAAAAATTTTTTAAATGAATCTTAGTGAAGGGCAGGTAAAAGCAGGAGATGAACGCACAGTACTCAATACATGTAAATATTGAAATGGATGCCATTCACAGTTTATAACAAAGAGATTCCATGATGCTGTTTAATAGATCAGAGATGACATCAAAACACAGTAGGTACAAGAAAATGGCACATAAGGAGCAGCCGAGTGTCATTTTACAACGTAGTTCTTACCACATTTTGACCTCTTCTATGATATACTACTGACCAGATACAACCACATGAATTTTTTTTTATTGCAATAAAAAAGCACTGTTGCTAATAGTGACTGATATGTGCAGGTCATTTCACAGTTGTATACTTAGTTTCCAAGCCTTTCATTTAGTGTGAGGCTGAAGGTAACATTGTTGTGATAGAGACCAGTATCTGGTTAGCATGGTAACATAGTAATTTACATACGTATGATGCTCGATCCTTTGCAGTAGATAGCGCTATTTATGCAATAGCGAAAATCAGACCTGAAAAAAATCAGGCCTGTACGGGATTCGAACCACTGACCTCTGCGATACTAGTGCAGCGCTCTACCAATTGAGCTAATAAGCCAACTGGGAGCAGGCCGTTAAGTTGATTCGTAATAAACCCGTGACGATAAATCATATACCATGTATATATGAAGTTCATATATTTTGAACAGCGGTATTAAATACGTATGATGCACGATCCTTTGCAGTAGATAGCGCTATTTATGCAATAGCGAAAATCAGACCTGAAAAAAATCAGGCCTGTACGGGATTCGAACCACTGACCTCTGCGATACTAGTGCAGCGCTCTACTAGGTCAGTGGTTCGAATCCCATACAGGCCTGATTTTTTTCAGGTCTGATTTTCGCTATTGCATAAATAGCGCTATCTACTGCGAGGATCATGCATCATACGTATCTAATACCGCAGTTCAAAATATATGAACTTCATATATTCATTGTATCTAAAGTAATTTACATTGGAAAAGCAGCAACATCTGTATCATAACAAGGTCACCCATTGCCTTCTTCCTGTTCAAAGGCCTGGAAACCAAGCACACAACTGTAAAATGGACTATTCATCTATGCATCTGTTTTCCAATAGATCTTAAGTGACTAACCAATAAGAGTTCATGTAGGACTCAGCTTATCCAAATAACACAATCATGATAGCAAAATTCCATCTATAGTTACAAATTGGAAAATAATATTTCTACAAGATTCTGATAAAAGAAGTCAGGCTTCAGTACTAACTGAGGAAACAAAAAAATTAACATGTTCTTCTTAATTACATGTTCAGAATAAAATTCAAATAAATTTAATTGTTATTCATTTAATCAATAACTTGAAAGTCTTGGCTTACCATGGTCCAAGTAGAAACCTTTTCTTCTACAAATGAGAAAAGTGGATCACAATTCTCCAGAGTGATGCAGTCAAAAACGTCACTCAATACAATGAAAACTAAGTTGAGGGAACAGTATCCTAGAGTAAATCGACAAAGAATTACTTCAAACATAAGTGTAACTGATACAAAATTAGTAATAATTATTAATAATAACAACTGAAAAATAAATTGTAACAATCTCTTTTACTTGTTTCAGTGTTAAACCCATAAACCCATAAGAGTGACAAGCATCTAATTTCTCCTTACAATATCACCCCTGAATGAAGCATTAAGGTCACGAGAATATAGGAAATGATCACCAACTACAGAAGCTCTTGATTGTTAAACAAATTCTCCTTGTCAGCATCTTAGGAAATGCATAGAGAACAGTATGGAGAATATGTATACTGATGCTGAGGTGTAAAGGGTTTAGAAGAAATAGAATAATTAACATCATCATCATGATTTTGCATTCTTCTTGGTCTTTCAAAAAATTAATTAATTATTTTTTTTTATCTCTTTCATACAGAGGTCCAGATTCTTTAAATTTCAGGTCTTGAGAGACACAGTCTTGAAGTCAAAGGACTTCTACTGGTCAATCTGAAACCTCTCGTGGCTTGTCCACTCCTTTTTTGCAATTGTACTGCTGCTCAAAGCCTCAAGGAGGATGCTACATATCATTTATTGTCAATATTTCAACCTGTATGAAGCTGGTTAATTTTAAACAGACAGTGAGTACTTTGGAGAATTGAGCCACAAAGCCTGGGATATTTTAGAAACAAAATTGGGCAAGCAATTATTCCATCCCAACCTCTTGTGGCTTCACCTCTCGTTTTCACAACTCTGCCACCCAAAACCAGGGCTCGACGCTAACTCTTCAATTTACTAGCCAAGTGGCTAGTGACATCTTAGATGTTTAATTGGTATGACAATTTTCAGTCTGTTTACAAGCCAAACTGGCCAGTGGACATTGAAAACCATTGACCAAAACTGAATTTCTACTAGTCTGTGGCTATTGGGCTACCATTAGTGTCGAGCCCTGAAAACCTTGTAATGCAAACAAAACCACTAGCCTCAGCCTATTCACGATTTGATTTGCTTTAAAACTCACCTTGAAGGGCTGACTTGATAACTAATTTGATCAAGAGTTCACATCTTTCCATATCTCCTCCCTTAAGCTAAAAAACATAGACTACAGTTCTTATCATATTTCTCTGACACTTTGGTTCCTATGCTCAAGAATGTAGCTTACAAAATGAACTCTGATGGTAAAGATTACAACTGATCTGGTTATAAGAGAGATTTGGTAACAAAACTTTGTTCCCAATCTTTCGCAAACAACTGTATATATTAACTTAAGACCATTTATCGTCATTATACCAAGTAATGGCAGGCCAAAATCCAGCCAGTGATCACTTCTTTCCCAGCCTGCAAAATTTTCTGGCAGGAGACCCTTCTTGACAAACATGTATGTTCCTCCCAGATCTATTGTACTACTACTTGATCTGCTATGATCTTGCTAGGTAAATATGTGTACTGAAGAGGATATTAAGCTTATCACAATGACAATTTGATATGCACTGGGTAATCTCTGCTGCTCAAAACTATACTTAAGTAGACTCACCACTGAATCTTTGACAAGATCTCTGAAAACTTGATCAACCACCAGTTTTTTCTCTTGTTCACTAAAACAATAGAAAAATCACCAACCAAAATACATTGCATGAGTAGTTTACTACTTTCCAGGATTTCAAGTCTAGCTCATAATCTAGGGATAGAAGATCTCTACAAGCTCAGTTGAGCTTCAAGGCAGATCTACAGTCATTGTCATTATCATAAACTCAGCATAAAATTATAATATTATTACTGTTTATGTACGGCGACCTTGCAGTACCGGTCGAAAGTAAGTTGATATTCTCTCGAAACTTGATCCTCGATCCTCGATTCTTGATAACCGATACTTGAGCCTCGATTTTCAATGGTTTCGGAAATCAAGGATCAAGTTTTGAGTTGAGAATGTTCACTTACTTTTAAGCGCGGGTACTGTAGTATCAACATCATTGTCACTAAAAACTTCTTTACGCAGTCACTTTCTTGTATTTTACTGACTGACCATAGCCAAAAGACAAAACAGTGCAAACGTTCAGAACTAGCGGTTTCATGCAAAACGAAGGTGAGTTTTCAAAGGTTTAAAATATAAGTAACATGTAACTCTCATATACTTACCTTCCAGCTGCACTTTGGAAAGCAGCAACTAATTCCGCTTCGTCACTTTCATCCTTGGCTTTGTTGACACAAGACTGCAAAGAAGAACCAAAATCGTTTTCACATTTTTTCTACTGGGCTTGTTCCTTGAACACAACGAGAGAAGCGTACCTTTAATCTTTCCCTAACTGCTTCAAAATCTAGTCCACCGCTGTCCGCCATTTTGGTTTTCAGGTGAACGAAACGCTCATCCCAGTACCTCTCCAACGTTTGGGATTCAAGATGGCTGACACAGCGTATATCGCTTCTTGAATTTCTGCCCACAGGAGAAATGTGCTACTGATTATTGCAATACTTATCTTATCTACCCTGAGGCATCATTAACCACTTGTAGGTAAAGTAACAAACACTGTTTTGGTACGCAATCCATGAGACTGTGTGTACTACACAACGAAACTCTTATCCGATCTCAGGCGGAGTGTTGGGTTTATTCTAAAGGGTCGTGATCTCTTTCTGACTTTTTATTTGATTGTAGGTTTAAAAATATTTTGAGATGGTTCGAGTTGCCTTCGTTCATCCAGATCTGGGAATCGGGGGTGCAGAACGGCTTGTGGTGGATGCCGGCCTTGCTCTGAAATCCCGAGGTCATGAGGTTCATTTTTTCACATCTCACCACGATACGTCCCATTGCTTCGAGGAGACTAAGAACGGGACGCTTCAAGTTACTGCAGTTGGAGACTGGCTCCCTAGACACTTCTTTGGATACTTTTACGCTTTTTGGGCGTATTTAAGAATGATTTATGTCTCCATTTATTTGGTGTTCTTCTCATCATGGCGGATGGATGTTGTATTCTGCGATCAAGTGTCTGTTTGTATCCCGTTTCTAAAGCTAAGCAAAGCTCGGATTGTGTTTTATTGTCATTTTCCTGATTTGCTACTAACTCAACGAAAAAGCTTCCTTAAAAAGCTCTATCGTGCTCCGTTAGACTGGCTGGAGGAACTCACAACTGGTAAGCAAAGATGCAATTTTTGGGCAGGCGTCGGGCGAGGGATATGATGGTTATGCCCAGGGGTTTCATTAATTTTTTCAGCAGGAGGGCAACTGGTTTTCACAGGCGGGCAAAACTTTTTGAACTAAACTTCTTCATAAGATAAACCTTCCTCCAGATTGTTAAACCAGGTGGGCAAAACCGTCCTTACAACCGGTCAATTTGGCCGGTGCCCAGCCCTTAATGAAACCCCTGTATGCCCCGTGGTTAGTTTGGGGGGGGAGGGGGGGGTATGGGAGTGCCTAGCGTTTTTTTTCAATGAAGGTGCATTTAGCAGTTATCACTTATTTGTGCCCTCTTTCATTCACTTATATAGTTATTTGCCTATTTATGTAATGATTCTTTAAATTCTTTAATGGGGGATGGAATGGGTAGCCTGATTTTTTAGACTCCGTTTTTGGGAATGGATAAACCTAGAGGGAAATTTTCATTTAGGAAATGTGTATGTTTTCATTAAAATATGTTGTGTTCAGGGAATTTTGGAAAGTTTGACTTTGATCCCTAATGTCTGTCAGTCTGAGTACAGATTAATACTTCTTCCCCTACACTTTATATCCTAGCATCAGCATGCATATTCTCCATACTGTCCTCTGTATACCTCCTAAGGTACTGAAAAGGAGAATTAGTTTGACAAACAGGAGCTTCTTGAATTAGTGGTTATCTTTTTAACCCTTTAACTCCCAGAAGTGATTAACCTGTAACTTCTTCCTTCAATATCCATACATTATTCAGCAAACAGGTAATGAGAATACTCAAACTTATCCGGTAGAAGTTGTTATCTTGATTGAACACCAAATTCTCCTAACCAGTTTACAAGGAAATGTGTAGCAGCTAGAGGGGAAAATTAACAGTCAGATCTTAGAAATTAAAAGGTTCATTCTCATGACCTGTTCATTTGATTCAAGGGTGGTATGGTAAGGGGAAATTAGAAGCCAGTCATTTTTAGAGTTTTAAGGGTTGATAAGGCCTTGGACTTTTTTCTCTCAGGGGAAAGTGATGATTGATTGATTTTCACCCACAAGTCAAATGAAATTTATTTCATTAACAATAATTGTGATGTGCAGTTTTTGTGCATAGGAAATGATAGTATCAACAAATTTTATGTGATTATTCTTTTTTTCCATTTCAGGCATGGCAGATACAGTTCTTGTGAACAGCAATTTCACTGCTGAAACTTTTTTGTCAACATTTACAAGTCTGGGCAGTAATCGCCCATGTGTCTTGTATCCTTCACTGAATTTTTCTTCATTTGAAAAACCAGTTGAAAAGGATGAAATACAAGACCTCATTCCACCCACCGCCAAGTGTGTTTTCTTGTCTATAAATCGATATGAGAGAAAGAAGAACTTGAACCTTGCGTTAGAGGCACTAGATTGGCTCAGAAATATTATCAGTGACGAGGAATGGAAGGATGTACATCTAGTTATGGCAGGTAAGTAATTATTATTAATTATCATATTGATATAACACATGGTATGCATTGTTTGATTGGTCAGTTCAGTTTCCAAGTGGATGCTTTAACAGGTTACAGAGTTTGCATTTGATCAGTGACAACTACATGTAGTTTTGTCATAAAAGCAGTAGAATGCATTTTTCTGGGCTCCATAAGGTGATAAAGCTTTGCAGGATGTTAGGAGAACAGGAGGAAAGCTTAAAAATCACTCCCCTTTGGCTCATGATTTATAAGCTTTTTTTGAGCAGTGTTCTCTCAACATCTGGTGTGGCTTTGTTGTGCTAAAGAGCCCTGGTAAAATGTGTTGTATTGCTTAGATAAATAATCAGAGGCCCATACCATAAACATACATGCACGTACTAGGTATTAACCAAGTTTGAGGTCCAATCTGTAAGTTGTGCACCAAGGGTTTTGGATTTATGGTCATAGGGCAAAGCATACTTTTAGGCAGGGTTTGACACTAATTGTAGCCCACTAACCACAGACTAGTAGAAATTCAGCGTTGGCTAGTGGTTTTTTATTTCCACTAGCCAGTTTGGCAATTAAACAAACTGAAATTGTTGCAACATCTAAGTTGTCACCAGCCACTTGGCTAGTAAGTTGAAAAGTTTGTGTTGAGCCCTGGTATGAGCTATAAATCCAAGCAAAAATAACTAAATTCTGTAACGTACAGTAAAGACCAAGCATACAAGGTTAGTAAGATCTTTATCATTATTATCTCTGGGTTCAAAAAGGAGGGGAACATTTTAGTTCAAACAAGCGCTGGTCTGATGGGCCACTTGGCTTGTAAGCAGACTTACCCTTACTGTAGTTACTGGGAGTGGTTATAAGTGACTCAGATGTTCTATATATATATCTTATTAACCAAGCGCGAGGGCTGTACTGGGAGAATATCGGTCCGAGGTCTTGACAGTACGGACTAAGCGCAGCAAGGTCCATACAAAACAGACAGAGGGCCGATATTCTTCCAGTACGGTCCCAAGCAAGGTTGTTTAATAAGAGATTTATTATATGCCTGAAGTTCAAAGGGACACAAGTGCGGTATCATTTGGGACCATTCAGGACAGTGCCCGGTCCAATACTGAGAGAATATTTACGGGCAATAGAGCATTTTGATTGGTTGATTTTAGTTATTGGCCCTCTGACTGCCCAAGTCGTGTAATAAAATACTGTTATACCTTGTTAAACCTCTCCACCCTATCTTACTTTATCTTGGGTTGCACTTAGTGTACCTCATATTTTTATGATGTTCTCCAAACATAATTGAACAGCATTTCTTTGTTGTTCATAAAGGAGGATACGATGACAGAGTAACAGAAAACAAGGAGCACCACTTCGAACTCTGCAAACTTGCTAAACAATACAACCTCAACAGTAAAGTCACATTTGTGAGATCAATCAGTGACGCACAAAAGCTAAGTCTCCTTAATCGATGTTCATGCTTAATCTACACTCCAAGCAATGAACACTTTGGTATTGTTCCCATTGAGGCCATGTATATGAAGCGTCCGGTAATCGCAGTTAACAGTGGAGGGCCGTTAGAAACTGTTCAAAATGGCGTGACAGGGTTTTTGTGCAATCCTGATGCCGAATCCTTTGCTTTAGTGATGAAAGAGTTTTTGAAGAATCCCTCTCTTAGTTCAACAATGGGTGAAGCTGGCAAGGAGAATGTGATCAAGAAGTTCTCCTTTGATGTTTTTGCTCAACATCTTCACAGTATTGTATGTTGTTTGTACTTACTAGAGTTTGATGCCTATCCTTTAGATTAGTTCACCTTATATGGTAACATACAGTACAGTCAATAAACAATTATTGGATAAGGTTTTTTGTGATATCCGGAATAATCATGGTCGAGGTAGGTGTTATATCGGCCAAAGCCAAAGGCTGAGGCTGATAACACTAACCGAGACCTTGATTATTCTGGATATCACAAAAACCTAATCCAATAATTGTTTTATTATACATTGTTTTAAAGAAAATAACGCCAAACGCATTATCGCTGCGAACACAGTTTATTTTCGAACACTTAAAAATGTACAACTGTGTGGTAAACAAATTTTCACTTGGGCTAATTCCTTTTTGTCGTGTGGCTCCTGGATATTTTTCTCTTTAAGGTATTCGTAAAACAGTTCCTTCGCCGCTTTTGTCAATCTTTTCGCATTTTCTGAATCTTGATCTTCAAGTAATTTCTCAGTTTCTCGCTAGGTCGATGAAGTGAATCGAGAAGCCGTTCTTACTTTGCTCTCCGTGAACTTGACATTGCTCCACCAGAAATCATGCATTGCGTGCGCAACCTACAGATTATTCACTAATCTGTAGGTACAGATTAGTGAATAATCTGTAGGTTGCACTGTTTCCCAGAATTAACTGTGGGCATTTAGCCAATTAGAAGACAGATGGTGACTACAATGTATAATAAATCTTGTTATTGTGACCCTTTGGGATTGCCAGTTTGTATCCACATTGGTGGTGAAAACTCATTAATCTGTAGTAGTGGGAGCTATTGTTATACATTTTGTTGTATTTTGGGATGTTTCACCTGTCTTGAAACACGTGTTGTCTTAAAGTCAAGAGTTGACTGTAATAGCCATGGCATGTAGTGCATAAAATCCACAAGTTTTCAGGGAGAGAAATCAGATATATTTTAAGGCAATTTCTAATTTTAATTATTATCAATGGTCGTTTCAACTGCTTGGGCCATTTTTTGTGTAATATATTTGTATCTTCTCTGGGAGTGCACTGATATTTCTTATACCTATATAAATTAATATGTAATTTGTTTTCCCCTTAACCTTTCTTAGAGAATTAGCCCCTCATCAAAAAAATTTTTCTGCAAATAAACCTGCACACAAACCACAATCATCCATTCACTCTGACGAAGAGCTAATGCTCAAAGTGTCAGCTTTGAAACTCTTTACAGAGACCAATTTCCATTTATCAACTCAGTTGATGAAACCAAATTAGTAAGATCAGAGATAATAACAACAAACATATGAAACATATGTGTGAACTGCGGTGATGAGACGTATATGAGAACGATCCTTCGCAGTAAAGCACTATTTGAGCAATAGTGAAAATCAGACCTGAAAAAAATTTCAGGCCTGTACGGGACTCGAACCACTGACCTCTGCGATACTAGTGCAGCGCTCTACCAATTGAGCTAACAAGCCAACTGGGAGCAGGCCATCAAATTAATTCAAGTTAAACAAGCCAACTGCCATCAAATTAATTCAATTAATCCAACAAGCCAACAAGCCATCAAATTAATTCAAGTAAAACAAGCCAACTGCTCCCAGTTGGCTTGTTAGCTCAATTGGTAGAGCCCTGCACTAGTATCGCAGAGGTCAGTGGTTCGAGTCCCGTACAGGCCTGAAATTTTTTTCAGGTCTGATTTTCACTATTGCTCAAATAGTGCTTTACTGCGAAGGATCGTTCTCATATACATCAGAGATAATGTTGACAAATATTTGCAAGAGACCTTTAAACTGCATTTTTTTTTCACTGTCCCATATTAACAACAAATCATTTTTAATATATTTCTTTAGAATGTTCAGTATTTTAAAACTATTTTTAGTTCAGCATGGATGATGATGAGAAATTCTAGAATGCTTACAGCTGTAGCCCACTTATTTAAATGATCTTTGGCTTTTATGTGGTCTCGCTAATAAATAAATCAAAATATTAATCAGACGATATCACTATTGTGTGGTTTATTGACAGGTAACAGACGGAGGCCAGACAGGGACGGTGTGGTCAACAGCTGTGACATGTTTTCTCATGTTTGTAGTGTTCTCTGTGGCCTGCGTGTGGGTTGTCAATTTCCATAACAGTCACTGACAAGAAGTTTATTATAATGTATAACAAGATCATTTTGATAATTATTATTATATATTATATGCAATCATTAAATTATGTGATAAGTGATGGGGGTTTCATTAAGGGCCAGGCACCGGACAAATTGTCCAGTTGTGAAGATGGTCTTGCCCACCTGATTTGACGGTCTGGAGGAAAGTTTATCTTATAAAGAAGTTCAGTTCAAAGAGTTTTGCCAGCCTGTGAAATCCAGTTGCCCTCCTGCAGAAAACATTAATGAAACCCCTGAAGTGAATTAATAAAGAAAGTACCTTTTGCCAGCTTTAACCCATGAGTGACCAAGACAGAATATCTCTTTATGATATCAATTCTGTATCAAGCAGACACATACGAGAATAAAGAGAAATTATAGTACCCTAAGAGGACACGAGCTTACTAGTAATGAAAAGTAAATGGAGAAACACTATGTGTGATCATTGAAATGTCATTCATACTATTTTATACAAGATCAACAATGAACGCCGGGATTATTTTTCAGACCTATCAAAACAAATAGAAAGGTTTTGTGGTGTGCCAATATTCAAGGACAGCATCCAGGATATTCATATCAACTTGCTATGTAAGAACGAATTTTTCTGTTGTTTAGATTGTATTTTCAATTCATTGAATCCTTTACTCAAATCCCTTCTTCAAGGCTACCTGCCTTTAAACTTGTCCCACCCAGACGACAGGTGCATGTTCAAAGGTGCCTGCTTATTCTAGGTTGGGAACTTAATCAAATAAAAACAGTAAGTCACTAACTTGGTGACCTATCAGGGTGCAGTATAGGAAGCTGAAATTAATTTTGGTATTACCTAGTATTTTTGTTCTAACATTTAAGTGAGATAAACAATTTTTATTAATATTTGGACAACCAGGGAGTTTTAAAAGTACTTTTGATAATGTTCTCAGTGCTCCTTGGTTGTTCGAGTATTGAGTTTTTTCATTTTTCATGAACCTCAAGACACAGTTGCCAGCAAGCTTTTTATTTAGTTATTAAAGGTAACAAAGCTTTTATTGTGGCCACCATTTGACAACTTTGGATTACCAAATGGCATCTTTGAAACATTTGAGCTACACATGTAAGAGCCCTGTTGCTAATCCTGCTCAGTTCAGATTTTTACCCTGAAAAATTAAACTCAATGTAGTATTGAAACCAGAAAAGAATTTAATTCTTTATCAGATTGCAACTCAGTAATGTTGTAATGTTGTTTTCTGCCTTTAAAAGCACACACAACCCACAATTCCTCTATTAGCTTCTACGAAGGGCTTACTGTCAAAACGTCAGCTTTTATAACCATAACGGTGGCCAATTTACTATAATTTTGTTGATACATTCAAATTATTTCAGTAATGTTGTGATTGTCTTTCACTACTTGACTGTAACAATTTTAAGCTTGATAGTCAAGTAAAAAGAGGTGTTATCTGTTTGTGTCTCGGGCTTTGGGAAACAAAAATTCAGGGTGCCCCACAGAGAATCAAACACGAGACCTTTGGATCTCAGTGTTGATGAAAAATGATAAAGGAGGTAAGTCTCTAAAGAAACTGCGGTGCTGCGACAGTAGGGGGTATTACAAATAATTTGCTTTTATCAACAGAGTTGATGAAGTAAATTTGCCACCGTAAATAGTTTTGAAAGCTGACGAAGGGCTTATCCTTGAAATGTCAGTGAAAGAAACTTTTAGCAGTGGTTAATTTACATTTATCAACTCAGCATTTTGAAAAATAATACTTTTATTATGATTTAGATCTAATTATCACAATGTATCTTTATCATCTATCTGACAGTCTTAGGTCAATAACTCATGGGTAGGAGTCTGTACTAGTCTGGGAATAAAAAAATGTGTAAAAAATAGTACAAGTTAAAAGAGCTTAAATTAATAAAATGTAAAATCTTTTGTACAAACTTTACAAGTGGTGTTTGGCACAAAAAAATTAATGTAATCCATTTTTAAATAATAGGACAAATTCAATGTTTCTCTGGTTCTTATCTGAAGTGGTGTGTTCCAGGCTACTGTATTACGGTAGCAAAGGAATGGAAAGAAGATCATCTCAGATCCTTGTCCCCTTTTCTTATCAATGTCTCTTTCCATCCTCTCCTCTTATCAGAGGTCTAGCACTGTCTATACACTTTTGTCAGTAAGGGCAAATATTTTCTTTGTCTTTGTTCTGCAAGTTGAAGCGATCAGTTTTGGCTCCTTTGATTTTTGCATTCCGCTGCAGCTTTGCATAATACCGAAGAACATCAGGGTGAGCACGTACACACTTGCTATCAAAGTCTAAAACTCTGAGGCCTTGAAGGCTCCGTGCTCTTGAGAGTGCAACGTATGATTGGCCATATTCAAAGACTCTTGACAGAGAGATTTCAACGCAATCCAGTGTCATACCCTGGAAGAAAAATTAAATTTGCAGTTAACATTACAGCAGCAAAGCTCTTGATCTAGGCAATGTAAGGGAAATGGCTCAACCTCAATGGATCTTACCAGATTCCTTTCATGTTCCCCAGTGCAGATGCAACTCCAGTTCTTTTTAATTTTTTAGTAGGAAAGTTCACAGTTTTTCAGCAAGTTCAGCAATAAGCTCATTACCATACATTTGCATGATTGTACACAGGGTTTGTACCCTCTTTCAGGAACAATTTTCAAGGACTTTTCCAGGACTCAGATAGATTTTTCCAAGACTCCAAATTTCACCTTAAACCCTTTCATTACTAAGACTGGAAAATCAACTCTCCTGACATTCTTCAAGACATGTACATTTCTTATAACAGAAATTCTGAAAACTTTATTGCTTGATTTAAGCAGATTTTCAGGACTTTCCAAGACCTGTAGTCTTTTTCAAAACTCTATAGTCCTGGACCCATTCTATTGTGGAAATTAAATGAAATAAAATGCATTAAAACACTCCACAGATTTTTCAGGAGGTTAGCCTTGCCTACTGGTAAAATAAAATCTTAATCGTTCCTTCTCCCCTACCCTCTCCCCCTACCCCTCTCCCCCTAATATTATTACAAGTAATTTCTAAACATAATCTGTTGTTAGCTTCTGTACATGTTACCTGGCTTTTGTGTATGGACACAGCCCATGCTAATTTAAGTGGCAGCTGTCGCCGAGTGACTGTCCCTCCACCAGATGTTGATACAACCCACTTCTCAGGACCAATCACTTCTTCAAGCCCAGAAACAAACTTGATGATAGGATAACCTGAAAGAAATCAGCCAAATTCCAACATGGCTCCATGGCTTGAGGGAAATACAACAAAAGGAATAAATCATTTATCCCTCAACCTTGATGTGATTTCTTTTGTTTTACTTATCCAGAGCCTTGGAGCCAAGTTTGAATTTTGATATATCGAAAATGGTGTGTTGTTATATTCAGCACTATGTAATCCTTCTAAGGTCTGCCTTGAAGCATAACTTAATGTTTATGAAAAATTTGTGTTACTTGATTTAGTCTCAAACTTACTTTGTCTGGTCAACAAAAAGTGTAACAAAGTTATTCATGTTAATTAGTAAAAAACTTACATTTTAGTAAATATTGTGACAGCCTTTTGAACAGTTACCGATAATAAAACTTGCTGTCTTGTATTGATCAAAGGAGAGCTTCTTGAATATATTCCTTACCATACATGTATAAACTTATTTTCCTGCATATCAAATATGGATGTACATGACATTCACTGATAATACTGTAAGATGTTATGTTAATTTGCTTAAAATCCCCCGGGAGTTTCGTAACCCAGAACTGTTATGAACTTATTAGCATTTTTGTTTTTAACTGCATGTGTTGTAAGTTGCTGGTCAGTTTTAGTTTAATCGTTGTGTATTAAAGGTCGTATCTTAAAAGTTTAGTGTCACTTTTCGAGTGAAGACACAACATAAGACTAAGTGTATATTAATTAACAAACCAGCAGATCCCAAATCAAATCCTTTGATTATTCCACGAGCACCATTAACCAGTCCTTTGGAGACATTCAAATTCTTAGCCAGCATCACCTAATAAAAGAGAAGAAGTATATGGATAAATTAGTCAACATTTAGAATTAACATTTACATGACTTGTAACATTCAACACAATCAGTTCTCAAGTTCTAACAACCCACCATTGCAATGATCATATTAAATAAAATTTTTTACCACAACTGGCAGTAATGTTGCAATCTGATTGGCAAATAAACTTTTCAGTGTTCATAGAGATAGAGTGCAGACAACACTGCTCCAGCAATATATTAATGTGTAATGCAACTCATCATTCTTTTTCTTTTATCTTGATATTGTATGTGGTAAAAAGAAAACACATCAACAGCGGTTTAGTGTGGTCTGTGCTCTTATCAATAATAATATTCGTCATCACAGTTGTCAAAATTTGCAGACTAGCCTCATGTGGCACACAACATTTGACTACTGTGTCACAGTGTGATGAATATTATAATCGTTGATAAGAGTACACACCATGCTAAACCATTGTCAACTTGTTAAATGACAGTACTACCATTTAGATGATGTTACATTTACATTCTTTTACCCTTTAACTCCCAGAAGTGATTAACCTGTAACTTCTCCCTATAATATCCATACATGATCCAGCAAACAGGTAATGAGAATACTCAAACTAATAACAGTTACTTAAAGGTAGAAGTTGTTATCTTGATCTACAGTTTAATTCTCGTCACTAGACAGTTTAATTAATAAGCAAAACTGCAGCACCCCCAGGGTAGAATTAACAATCAGATCTTGGGGGTTAAAGAGTTAAATGTATAATGCAAAAGCTTTAAGTAAGAAATTGTTACCTGTGCTCCAACTTTTAATTCCAGAGCATATGACACAGGAACATGACTGTCAAGCATTGCACTCATTCCACTGTCACTGTCAGTTGCTTCAAATACTTTCTTTTCACCAGGCAGTCTTGTTAAATGTATGTCATTTATCTGGTTGACATTTTCCTTGTGGGTGCAAAGCTTGGTGGCAAGAATTCCTTCTTTCTCAATTATTTGATTCTTAGTTGCAGTTAACCTTGACACAAGAGCATCTGAACAACTGGATTCGAGAGAATAATTATTATTAACCTTTTCACACTCAGGAGTGATCAAGACAGAATTTCTCCTTAGAGTAGCAATACACTATCAAGCAGTGAAGTAATGAGAATAGAGAAAAATATCAACTAGGGGAATTATCATTTGATTGAATACCAAATTCTTAGAATAAACTTTCTAAGGAATGGATGGAAAACAACAAGAAGAAGCTGAATTATACAATGCATTTTTGTTGGTTCTTACATGTACTTATGATCTGTGGCAGGACAGATGCATAGATAATGCCACTATCAATAACAGTCAGCTTTGTATTAAGTGTAATGAAACAAATAGTACCTATGTTGTCGTGGGTTTGTGCAACAATATGTTAATTAAGTCACAGAAGATGTTAAAATGTGTTAAGAAAATCAGTGACAGTCTCACAGCTGCATCTAATTGTGTGCTACCTTTCGGTTCTTAACATATTTTGATATCACCTGTGATAGTATTACTAAACAGATTCACAGCAATGAGGAATCTGTTGCAGGTTAAACAAAAATAATAATGGAGACTTGTTGTGACACTGTATCTTGAAAAAAAACCATATTGACATATCTTATTGTCACAATTCTTCTAAATTGTTCATTTAGGATTTAGACAAACTTCTTGCAAGAATTAAGATTTTACCTTCCAACTCGTACATTTTGAAGAATTGAGATGAAGAGTGGATCTTTCTGTCTAAAGACATGTTTAAGTTCGATGGTTGTGTCAACACATTCATTCCAACTTTCTGCCTGAAATAATAATAATAAAAAGTCAAAAGTTGATGAAAATCTCTTGACCATAGATTGTATATATATAAATCTGACTGCCCAGTCTTGGGGTGAAATGCCAATAGATCAAGTCTTTTTTTACCTGGAAACAAAATTTTTTGGGTCCTGGTTGTTTTGTTACTGGAGGAAGCTGTAAGAAATCTCCTGATAAAATTAGCTGAATTCCACCAAATGGGATATTGTCTTTTTTCCTCACAGCACGGGCAACTGCTTCAAGTTTATCAAAATATGTGGAGTCAACCATTGAGATTTCATCAATGATCAAATGTTTACAACGTCTCCACTGTTGGGCGCGCCCAGGCCGTGATGCCAGATCCACACACTGGGCAAGAGGTGCACTTCCACTTCCAATACCTGATGCACAAGACCATAACAACTAATCAGATTTTGAACACGTCCTAGGCAGAAATTTGTGCTGCTGGGTTTATCTGTAGAAATTTGAGCAGCTACACCTCATTCCTTTTGAAACCCTCACCCTATAGGTAGTTCAACCTACAGGTATGTGAGGGCTTCTCACCATCTTTCAGACCTACTGTAGACAAAATGTGACTACTGGTAATAATTTTTTTTTCTTTTCAAAAAAACACACTATTTATAGATCCCAATTGCAGAGAGTACGAAATCCATTGTAACTGATTTCAGGCCCAAATAAAGATAAGTGTATGCCCAAATTCGCACACTGTAGAGTCTATGTAACAGCACTTCCCAGAGACTTCATATAATGGTGGCCTGCTATGGGTGAAGTCTTAAGTGGGTAAAGGGGGAAGAGGTAAAGATGTACACAATTCTCCCCAAGTGTCCGTTGTTTACTGGTAACTGCTTAATTTATAATGATTTATTTCAAATCATAAATTAAGCAGTTAAACAACAGACACTTGGGCAGAATTGCAAACTAGCATCATGTCGCCAGTGTCTCTCACCCTAGCTTGATGAGGGCCCCCCTGAAAACTGCTATGGCAAGTTGGGCTCCCTCGTTAAATATTATTATTATCATATTGTTATTATAACACGCTTTTCTTCAAAGTTCTGTCGTAAAAGTCTTTTTCTTTTCTATCCCCCTCCTTCTATTGCCCTGCAAGAAGAGTCACCTTTGAGAAATGGAAGGCAGGTGGTGGGTGAGTCCCTCCAATTTCCCTGGGAGGACTGAAGGTAAATTTACTAGCAGGGTATACTCCCTTTCTAATATTCTCTTGTAATATTTTATGATCAGAGAAATTGGGGCATTCCTTTTAATATCCACACCCCCCCCCTATTAAAGGCCTGGGATTTCAGGGAGAGGGGGGGTCAATGCTATATTTTTCTTAGGGGGGTTGAACCATATTTCTGAGAGGGGTCGCCATAAAGTACCCTTGACAGAAATTCTCACGAGTAGTTTCTGAAGGGGGTTCCATAGGTTTGCTTGATCGTTACATAAACTTCTGAAGGGGGTTAAAAAATTTCTTTTCTGGAGGGGTGTTATAGGAAAGCCTTCAATGGGGGGAAGGGGGGGTGCGCGGATTTAAAATGGAATGGCCCATTCCTCCCTTCCCTTTCGAATTCTGCTCTTAAGACCTTCGTTTACCAATTTCTCTGCTGTCGTCAGCCACATCTATTGGGGGTAAATGCAGAGTATTACAATAAAAATGAAAAGCTCGTCGGCACTCTTGCAAAGGAAATTAACCCACCTGCAAATGCATGAAGCGTAGTCCCACCAATGTGACAAGCTGCAGCTCCAGTACTAGCAGTTATAAAAGTACTCTGAGGTGGTAACATCGTTATCAAGCGTTTTAAGAGATATGACTTGCCAGTTCCGGCACTACCAGTAAAAAACACACTCTTTCCAGCTCTTATGGCGTTTACCACTGCCATTTGTTCTGGTATAAGGTTAATTTGAAAAGAACTCAAAGAGCTGAGACGTTTTCTTGCTGCTCCGCTGTGTTCGTCGTTGCCACAACTCGAATCACTTTCTTTACCCGTAGTTCTAATTCGCTTCGGTGTCACACCGTTCTTATCCTCCAGTGTTCTTTTCTTGCAGCCCATCGTGAGATCTTTGTCTGTTAGAGGGCTTATGTTTTCAAACGACCGCGCTTTGTCACTGAGAAGCCGTCTTCTGTTACTCGCAATCCCATTCTGTTTGCTTTGAGCAAGTTTCAATGACAAACATTTTAAAAACGCCGCGAGCTGGTTGGGTGGACAATTTGAGAACATGATTTGTATCTTCTGTGTTAGAAGTTTAATCGTCGCTTTCCCTTCTTGTAAAAACCGTTTGTGAATGGTTAACTCTTTCAGGAGAAAAGTCTTTCCCAACGGAGATTGACTGCTGATTAATCGTAGAGCGATGTCGCCAAATTCATCTCGACCCAAAACAACTGTAATACTCTTGTAGGTTCGCCGTTTCGTGACCACACCATTGGAATTGAGGCTTTCCACTATCAAGCAGCATTCTAACTCGCTAGCCTCCATCAATCTATCGCAATAAAAGTTTTAAAACGTTTGAAATAAAATAGAAGCTTTGATCAGTGGTCTCTTTCACCTTTAAATTTTGGTGTTCCAATACATCGACCAATCACATGCAAGGAGTAAGTAGTCTCCAGTCCCCTTTCGTGGGGTCTCAAGCCGGCCGTATTTTGGAAAGGAGGGTTAAAGGAGGGGGTAAGGAGAAGCGAGACGGACTATTGCCCCACCACCTCCAGTCTCCTTCCAATGACTGTCCCCTACCCCCTCAATACCAATTTCTTCCTCCTCCTCCTCCTCCTCCCCAGCTTCCTGCTGTTGTAAAATCAAAGACGGCAGCCGTCATTTTCACCAAGAAAATACTGAGCACATGCTCACTCGGGGGTGGAGGGGGGAAGCCTAGTTTACTTCCTCAAATGGTCAGGAGCTTTTGTTGACAAATCAACCATGAACTCATAATAATAATGCCTCATCTATGTTTGACCCAATGTTTAGCAACGTACATCGTTTTGATCTTTTTGATAGTAAACACTGAGTCGTTGGAACTTGGTCGAGCAATGCACAGAGCCCGTTTGATTTTTATACTACCAATACCACCTGTCCTCCGTGCTATAAATGTTTCATTAACTTTAAACGGATGATTTTGAATGTCGGTCTACACCAAGTATACTCTTATGGGAAGAGTTAGTCTCTTCTTGAATGTTCCAGGAGTTGGTCAACGAGTTGCAATTAAAGGATGGCAATCTTGCCATCCGCAAATAAATGTTTAAACCTCTTCCCATCTGCTGAAATGAAAGGAATATCAGTTGCAAAAACTGCATCATGATCATTGCCACCCCTATTGTGTACAGTCCCTACACCCGTTGGATAAGATGATGTCTCGTTTTGACACTTTCAGCTCACCTTTTCACGAATCGTGACCAGAGGTCATTTTCTCAGAAAAGTGAGCCCCACAGTCATACATTCAAGGTTTCACGGGAGACAACTGTTTACCTCGAGAAAAATCTCTATCGTTTGAATTGAAAGCCTTGAATTTGAATTGAAGCCTTGAGTCGTGATAAAATAAGCTGAGCGGTATAAGCTCATCCATTCAATCCGGCGCCATTTGATAAAATGGATTACAAAACTGTAACTCATTAAGGTAGCGAGAGTCGAGGAACGAGGCTTACCATTGGGAACGGAGGTATGCGCACACTATGCGAATCCTTTTATAGGCCATCTGCATAACTTTATCAGTTTACTTTATCATTTTCGTCTAGGGTATTACGCTTGGTTTATAATGGAAATAACAGAACCTGAATATCTAACAATTATTTTACGAGGGTGCGTGGAATATAAGATGATAACAAACTAACCAACGAGGCGCGTAGCGCCGAGTTGCTTGTAATAATCTCATATTTGGCGTGCCTGAGTCAAATAATTTTTTCAGTAAAAACACACACCGAAAATAACTATTAGACTAGCAACTCGCTTTTATTAGTTTGACAACGATCGGAAGAGAATAACCTTTCTCTTTCCGTAAATGTTATCGCAACATGTAAAAGAAAAAATCACATTACGCGCTTAGCAAACAAAAACTGCTTTATTTTCCGTTATATACCTACAAACATAAAGTTCTCTTACGAAATTTAGTAGCCTTTTCGGTGTAAATGGGGGTAGCATTTTTTATAAGTTCAATCTGTCATTTCTTACGTTGTTAGCGCAGGGGCAGACCGATTTTTCTTCGCCGCGTTGCTTCACGGCCTGCTCACGGAAATATTTTCCGCTTCACTGACGAATTCATTGACCACAATGATTTGTTAGAGCTAGGTTATGAGCTCGAAGCTAGGCTACAAGCTCATGCATAAGATGAATCTGTTCAGCCCATCAGAAGGCTAGATATTCAATAACCATGATCTAGTTTTCATTTGATTGGTATTTGGTACGAAATATGTAAAGATTCAATCAAATAGTCTTCACACGTTCAACTGATCGCGATCTCTTCCGAGATACAATTACAAATATAAGAACCTTGGAATCGATCACTGCATGGTTGAATATTACCATTTACACTTTTGATACTAGATGGTAGCTTCTGTATTTATTAGACATCCTACAGGAAAAACTGTTGCGCTCAATATTCTTTTCATTAACTGCCAGGCAGTGTAAATTTGTGCTAAATGAAGAATGGAAAAATATTAATTCAACCAATTAATGTCTATATAATTCGATAGTATTTCAGGGTGGTAGAGATAAAAGTATTCTGGACGAAGAGAGAGCTTATTCAAGAAAGATGACAATTCTCGAGCTGATCAAATAGCGTGACCACATTAATTGCCAGTTGGGCCCCGCTACGTCACGCTTTTTAAAAGGGCAACCCGGAAGTTATTATAAGTAAAATGGAGAATGCCGTTTTAAGCAAAGTCCCTTCCGGCTTTTCCACACCCACAAAGATCGTAAGCAGACTAAATATTTTAGAAGAAAAATCTTTCCTTTTCATCACACTTAAAGCCCGTTTCTCGAAGTCCCGCCGGGTAACTTAACGGGCCCGTAGAGCTATTCTGGTTTCATACAAGATGGGAATTTAAAAGGTTTTAAACATTGCACAATAAAACTATCAGCTACAGAAGCAAAATGAACTGGTCAGGGTACCATAACCTGTTTCTCTGTTCGTAGAATTTGATTTTAAATATGGCTTTGGGCCAGTTGAATGACCGGGTCTTTCGAGAAACGGGTCCCTGATCATTTTTTTTTTAGTAGGTTCTTAAGGTCCACCTGCCATCAGCATGTCCAATGTGCAAAGGCCTATGACGAGGGTGATACCAATCCCCCAAAACAAGGTTGGACTTGTTATAGGGAAAAAAGGATCACAAATACAGGAGATAAGAAATCAAACTGGAGTCAACATAACCGTCAAAGACAATCATGCCCATCTGAGAGGCACAGCAGAACAATGCCAGCATGCGGAGACAATGATCGAAGAGATTCTGACGGTAGGTAAGAACAGGTGTCACTAAAGTAGAGAGCTTCCCTCTCTAGCTCCGGGCCATCTGAACCATAAAACCAGTCAGCGAACCCATGTTGTATCTTATCGTGTCCTGAATGCAAAAAGCAAAACTGTTACCGCATAACGATATCTGTTTTGAAACGAGAAGTTTGACTCCATTGTCCATGCATCTCTAGCTCTGGACCATTTGAACTATAAAACCAGTTGGCTAACCTACATGAATGCTGTATGTTTTTGGGGTCCAAAATTTAAAGAGTAAAATTGTTAACGGCCGAACAACAACATCTGCTTTGAAACGAGGGGTTTGACTGAATCACAAACAGTTTGTTGTGATACTTTGCCTTTGATTTAACATATGAAAGTGAGAAATGATGTATTTTAGGTTAAAAAGGTACTTTAGAAGAAAGGTACTATTATTAGGCGCAGGTTGAGTTTGCGTTGGTTGATTTGTGGTTGCAACTGCGGGAATCCTCTTAGGGCCAAAAATATGAGATATCTTGGTAAGAATAGGCCATTTTACGGTTGTGTACTCAGTTGGTAGGCCTTTGATTTGGAGTGACGCTGAAGGTGACCTTGTTACTTTTATAAAGATCAGTATATAGTTAACATGATAACAAAGTAATTTACATTTCAAAACCAGCAAAGTTTGTATCACCGGAAAAAGTCACCCTTAGCCTCAATCCTGTACAAAGGCTTGGCAACCAAGCGAGGAACTGTAAAATGGATTATTACAGAACACTGTGGCCGACTGTGTTTCTAAGGTTCCGAGGATCTACCCTATATAGCGAACTGATACGGGAGATACTTTAAGGGCGAGAATGAGCTCGGACTGTAATTAACCATACCCGAAGGGGTACGATCATCCCGGTCGATGTTACATCCGGGAATCTTCCCCCACATGAGATCTCCATCTCTAGAGTAGGAGAATCCACTTAATTGAAATCAACGGTACGCGATTTCCCTTGTCATTGTTCAAGGAGAGGCATGCTACCACAACACTTACTTTTACATTACAGAGTGGTGGAAAAATTAAGTATAAAAATAATATGGTTATATCGATCAATGCAACTAAGTTGAAATTGTAAATTGGCCACCGTAACGAGTTAAAAAGCTGACGTTTCGAGCGTTAGCCCTTCGTCAGAGCGAATGACGAAGGGCTAACGCTCGAAACGTCAGCTTTTTAACTCATTACGATGGCCAATTTACAATTTCAACTTAGCTGATATAACCAAATTACCTTATTACCCCCACCGACGTAGCACCACAGTTTCTTTTGAAACTTTCAGCCCTTAAGTACAAAAATACGTTCTTAAGCCACCATTTCTAAGCAGTTGTTTATTCACTCTATTTAAGTTTTTCTGTCTACACACGGCAGTTTTCTTTGATTCAATTTATAGAGACCTTACAACAAAAAAGGCGGGTTCAAGAAGCTCAACGTAACAATACCCGAGAAGTTCATGGGTTTCGTCATTGGAAAAGGACGTGAGAATCTCAACAACATCGAAACTAGGACAGGCGTAGCCCTAAAAGTCATTGATAATCACCTGCACTTTAAAGGATCAACTAAACAAGAAAAGAAAGTGATACGAGAAGTAAGGAACATGGTGGTGAGTGTTGTCGAGAAGTTAGATGGCTTAGTAAAGAGTAAGGCATAATCAGGCCGAAATAAACTGCGAAACAATTTTACCATGCAACCTTTCATTCATCCCTTCGGGTCGGAGAAATTCGTTTGGGTCAGAATGAAGTTTACCTGATCCCCAGAGCTCTGTACTATTCTGAGATCTCCCCTACTTGACAATGAGTTTTTTATGATCCTCCATTTAAACTCTGCTAGAGACGACACCCTTAAAAACACGTGATCACCCCCAGAGAAAATCCTCTAAATCCCCCACCCTCTCAAACCAGGCGATAAATGATAACTGGTTCTTATGTAAATCAAAACTTGGTTATGACAAAAATTTTAACTGAGTCATAGTTGTGTAACTGGGATACGAAATAACAGATAACGGTAATATTAGGCTGACAAGAATAATCGAGCTTGTTTTGAGGCAATTTCTTTCGGTGGTCCTTGTATATTTCATGTTTTCCCATGACGATTGAGAGAGAACGACTGAAGTCAGCTCTGCTATGAAACATTCTTCAAGGCTTAAGCTATTTTCAATCCTTTTCAATTGGCCAATCTGTAGGTCTCCAAGTCGGTGATGGCTTTTACGGCGCTCCTGCTGTAATCAGCTGGCGCGAGGTGATTATATAGCGAGATATGACGCAATCCTTGATCAATCAGAGCGCGTGCATCCCAAAGTATGAGCAATTGTACTAAATGTCTCTTAAAATTCCAAGAGAATGTTATATGCTATGCAGCATATGCGATAATCATTTTTCTCCCCTTTGAAGAAAACTAGAAAGAAAAGTAACGCTATAAGATTTGTTCATGTGGACACAGCACATTTAAAAGAAGGCCATGCGTTAAAGCTGTCCATTGCACAACCGTCACCAAATACCATGGTGGGGCTAAAGTGTTTCAAACTAGACCTTGAGGACGATCCTTTAGTAGAGGTATGTCGTACACCCTACAACAAATGCTATGAAAGCTAGTAATTTATTCTAGTCTTCTCGGATAGGGACGAGTAAATGGAGGTCCCGTCTCCTGCAGGGTTGGGGTAGGAGACGTTAATTTTCCACACACGAGAATACTGTGTGATGGATGTCCTCCCATTTAAACCAGCTTCATGCTGAACTGGGCTGGCCTGTCTAAATATCGTAAATACATACCTACATACATACATACATACATTTCATTTCTCATTAGCATAATTCACCCTAATTTTTTTTATGCTCGGACCCTCTTGTAAATGCTGGTAGAGGGCTTCCACCACCGTTTCACTTTAAAATAAAAGGTCCACTCAGACACTCACGATAGCAGAACCGGTTGTACTGGTCCTTCCATAACTGTCAGGATCCGAATTGTAACGATATTGTAGACAAAAGTACATATCAATCCATTAAGTCTGCCAAGAACTAATTTAGCCTGCAGGCCTCGTCTTCAAGTTGCTTAGCAATCCGAAGGAAAGTTTTCCACCGAGCTAAGCATCTTGAAAGTAAAAAGCAGCCTTACAAGGCATTTAACGTAAATGTTTCAAACTGTAGTCGTTTCATCGATTTACAATATCGTCATATTCAGGTTTTGATACCGACAATGTACTCAAATCACGTCACAGAATCATCATTACACACTGGAGAGAGATTGAGAACTGCCAACACCAGCTCCATTTTTCTCGTGCAGGAAATAAACTGTGAGTAATGTTCCTTGTATTCGTTTTACTAGTGAAGGTATGTTTTCAGGTCTAGTCGGCTACATCAAATAATGAATATATTATTTCAAAGGAAACACCCTCAGGTTTTGCGGATATGGAAAGCCTGAAAGAAAAGATGCTAGGAATTTTGAAGCAAATTCACAAAGAGAAGGAGGAGGAAATGGTCATAGTAGATATTTGGTGTCATTTTGGTCACGCATACCTTATCAATGTTGATGAAGGTTAGTCCGGGAGATTTGATGCGTCTTTCTGTGAATAGGCGGGGTATCAATTGGAGGTGTTTTCATACTTTTTCGATAGATGATGAGAATGACCTCTTCACCCTGGAGGAGCTTAAAGATAGAATTGAATCAACGGCTGGCGATCGTTGGAAGACTTTCTTCTCGGAAGTTGAGACAATTGAAGTTGAACAGATTGAAAAGTATCTGAGAGATTGCGCATGCACAACCAGTGATGACATCCGCTACGACCTCACCTTCTTCACTCCATCTGGGTTAGAAGTTCGAGTTAAGGTAATTTGAACATGTAGCAAATCATTATTCATGCCGGAGTGGGGCTACCGTCGCCTCTCGACCAAGGTCACTAAGGAGGGACACAGCCCAGAAGAGGTACCTATGTCAAGCTAAAGTTACACAAATGTCGAAACCAAGCTAATTCACGTCGCCCTCATTTGTAGTATCGTCACACCATGTCATAGATCACCTTACCAACCAATTATGAAGTACGATCTTGTACTGAGCAATTAAGTTCCATTGTTCGGTAATCCGTTAAGAAACGTTAACCAGGCCCACGACGCTATTGTCTTTCTAAGTGTGCACGTTTTACTACCATTTCTTTTTCTTGAAGTAAAGTTTCCTAACACCAACATTCAGGTATTTTAGCTCAGAGAACAGTCTACAACCCAGCAGTTTTTGCTTTTTTTAACTCGCAAAGCTCCCGAAGGCGTGTTTCCGACCTTACCAACATTTTCTTAACGATCCGGCCTACTATGATTTTTGTCTCACCTATTGTGTCTGTTGATTTTAAGGTAGCTCTGTCAGCATCATATTGCATCAAATAGGTTAGAGTGAAACAAAACGATGAATTGAGGGGTATTCATTGATTTGCGATTGTTACTTATAACTCGCCGGCGTACTTTCAGGAGTTTTGTTTTGCAGATGAACTCTGAGCTATGACTATAGAGCCTCTTTAGGGTTCAAAACATTGCAATAAAGAACCTTCTGACACTTTCCTTCGCGTCTGGCTAGTTAAAGAATACAAACGTCTTGCTATGCCAGTTCACCAAGATTTCACTTACAGAAGGTGCAAATTAACCGAGGCTCGACCAAATTTTCTCTTTTCATTTTCTATCATAATCCCTGTTATTAGGTATGGCTCATAGAAAAAGAACTTGGAGCCGAGGGCGCTTCAGCGTCTTCCTTTGCGTTCCGTCACAGCGCTCCACTTCCCGTCCGAAACGCCTTGACACACGTCTTGCCCGTCGAGCATAGTGGAGATGCATCGAACTCGCCAATTTTTCACATCTGTGAGACATTTCATCAAAGAATGAAACTCGACATTCTAATGCCGTCCGCAGGATTTGATTGCCGTTTGAAAATAAGAACATGTAAGAAAACATTTCTCTTAAAGTTGAGATATAAGAAATATAATGATACTACATCAATCTGTGTTATTTACTTGTTGCCATGGTTATAATGAATTGTGATTTTTGAATTTATTTTAGTACACTTTGTGTGATTAGCTAATAAACCTATCTGATCGCAGGTGTTCAGTTTGAACCAACTGTTCGATCAAAACTCGGCAGCATAATTAATGCAAAAAAGAGCAGTTTATCCACCCCTCTCATAAGACGAAATTGTAATGCTTATAATTTAAGGTTTGTGGCTTAAATGCCGAAAAAATTGCATGCATGTAACTGTGCAGATCAAAAACGGACATAGGCTGACCCCACTTCTTTCTTGTTTTAGTTCCAAAGTCTCCAAAAACAACGACTCTTCAAGCAGAAGAAGAGCGCAACATTTTGGAAAAATACCTCATGGAGATGAGCATTGAAGATGGTCAACTGACGTTTCCACCAATTTCCAAGCTACCAGATGGGTTTGACCTATTTTATCAGCGCCGCAGCCTTCGAAAGACATATCAGTATAAATATGATGGAGACATGTTTACTTTAACTGTTTGCAAAGACCAGTCAAAAGAAGTGAATCCCGACCAGACTGATGCGTACAGTTTCAATGAATCAGAAGCGAAGGTATTGCAAATTATACAAAAACGATTTTAACTTATATGCACTTCCCTGATTCAAATCTTTCCTCGCCATCGCATCACATTCATTTTCACATTCACTTCTTTCATATCACACTACATCACATTACATTCACATCTCATCTTTTAAAGACACGTCTTTACTGATTACTATGCAAGATGCAGGTAAAAAGCGAAGAGATGTATTTATTTAACAGTTATTAAAACACACTCGGAAAATTTTGAAAAGTCACAAGTGTGGACACTATAAAACACGAAGAGTTAGTAATTGCAACTGCGGTTCATACTTTTTTTCATATGCCAATGCAGCACCTCTCGCTTTATAATTACAGTAAGACTCCGTACTATAAGGTAGGAGTGTGACCTTGAGGTCATATCGTGGAGTTACAATGACTAATGAGTTCAGTGCTTAAATGGGACTAGTTGATGTAGGTGTTACTACAGCATTTTCGTTTGATCCGTATTTTGTTTTTAATTTCTTTGCATTACTCATGCATTTTGTTTATTAATGTTTTATTATCAACTATGAAAAGCCTGATGTTCATCTCCACTGTGAAGAATGGGACCAAGTACTAAATGAAGGAAACTGGGAACCAGAGCAGATCATTGCCAAGCTTCCTAAATTCTTAGAGTTTCTAAGGAAAGTTCAGGGAATTTTGCCCCACAGTAATAGCAAGTGACGAGTGATTTCAGCGAAGAGCGAGCTTTATAGACCCCCCCTCCCAAGATACTTCACAGCAAGATGCGTCTGTTTAGTGTGTTACCTAACCTGGTTGTCCTACGAGTTAGTCAGGAAAGTTGATCAGCCATTTCATGACCTACCTTTCTATAAAAATTTTAGATGGCCTTCTACCCTGTATAGTCTGTTATCTAAAATTATGATTTTGTGACAGACAGACAGACAGACAGACATGCAAATATTTTGTATTGGGTATGTATAATTTATCAAAAGTTTGTATTACTTGATTTTAAATTAGTCTCAAACTTGCTCTGACTGGTCAAAAAAAAAATTGTAAGGAATTTCTTACTGCTTAGTAACACTGACATTCAGTAAACATTGTGACAGCCTTTTTGAATTAGAGTTACCAAAAACAAAAACTGCTATTATTGATCAAAGAAGAATTTCTTGGATGCCTATCTGAAGATATATGTAAACTTATTTGTTAGGAAGCGAAACGAGAAATCCAAACAAACACTTTAAATCCAACACGGTAAACTGTAGACTCACGGTAAACGACAACTACCATTAAAAAAAACTGCTACTCGATAAACTAAAAAATTTTCAACTCCCCAGTAAAATTCAAACATAACCAAAGCAAAGCGCGCGCTCTGATTGATCCATTTGCCCATGGGTGTACGCTGCTGAAGTGAGCCAATCCAAAGACTAGTTTTCCGCGCGCGCTTGTTTTTTCTGGTCACGTGAGATTTGTTAAATAAAAGGGAACTCTAGCTACAATGTATCAATGTTATGTTATAAAACAAATGGTAAACACCACAGCGTACACTATTGAGTTATGGATGCACTTGGGAGGTTTGCTAAGCACTCAAGAAGCTAGAGTCGCTCTCGGCTATCGCCTCGAGCGACTCTTACGCTTCTTTCGTGCTTAGCAACCTCCTGCGTGCATCCATAACTCAATAGTGTACGCTGTGGTGTTTACCATTTGTTAAATCGCACAAGTCAAAATTAAAAGATCCGCGTGATTTGCTTACGATATTATTAGCCTACGTAGTCCCATAGCAAGCGCACGCGAGTCGCACGCGCACAAGTTCATTAACGCCTTCTAAACAGTATTAGATTCTTGCACATCAAATATGGGTGTACATGACATTCACTGAGGATGATACTGTAAGTTTATAATTAACAGACCAGCAGATCCCAAATCAAATCCTTTGATTATTCCACGAACACCATTAACCAGTCCTTTGGAGACAATCAAGTTCTTAGCCAGGATCACCTAAAAAAGGAGAAGAACTATTCTAGATAAACTATTCAACATTTAGCATTAACATCTACATCAACTTTCAACATGATGAGTTTTTAAGTTCTGATCACCCACAATTGCAATGATCATAAATAACATTTTTTTTACAGTAACACCACAATTAGCCGTAATGTCGCAACCTGACTGGCCAATTTTTCGGTTTTGATAAGAATATAGACAATGCTGTGTGCGTCAACATGTCACACACTGAAAGAATTGTTGTTAGTGTTATTGTTGTTTTTTTGTTTTGTTATTTTTTTCCCTTTTTTCCCTTCATATTGTGGTTAAAAACAAATCAACAGTGGTTTGGCATGGTATGTATTCTTATCAACAGCAACATTAGTCATTACTGACGACTACGATGAAAAACAACATTTTCAATAGGAGTATAGACCATGCTAAACCACCATCCATTTGTTAAATGACCACCATTCCGATGTTACATTTTGTTCTTTTAAAATGTATAATGCTTTAAGCTGTATGGGTTAAGAACATCTGAGTGACATCCTCAGCTGCATCTAATTATGTGCCACCTTTTGGTTCTTACCACATTTTGATGTCATCTGTGATAGTATTACAAACCCTTTAACTCCAAAGATCTGATTCTTAATTCTCTCCCCACCCCTCCCCCCTAGCTGCTATCCATTTCCATGTAAATTAAGAATTTGGTGTTAGATCAAGGTAATAACTTATAACTGATAAGTTTGAGTATTCTCATTACCTGTTTGCTGAATAACGTATGGATATTAAAGGAAGAAGTTACATGTTAATCACTTCCAGGAGTTAAAGGGCTTAACAGATGCATAGCAACATGGAATCTATTTGATCAACAGAAATGATTATGGTGACATGTTGTGACAGCTACACTGTATCTTGAAAGACCATGTTGTCTCATATTGTTACATTTCTTAGAGATTGTTCATCTGGAATTTACACAAACTGCTTGCAAGAATAAAAATTTTTACCTTCCAACACACACATTTTGGGGAACTGAGATAAAGAGTAGATCTTCTTGACTAAAGACATGTTTATGCTTAATGGTTGTGTCACTGCATTCACTCCAACTTTCTACCTGAAATAATCACAATAAAAAGTCAAAGGTTGATTAAAATCTCATGGCTGATTAAAATCTCATGGCTGTGGATTGTATGAATCTGACTGCTCAGTCTTGGGGTTAAATGTCAATAGAACCTTTTTTATTAACAGGAAACAAAATTTTGTGAGTCCTGGTTGTTTTGTTAAAGGAGGAAGCTGTAAGAAATCTGATAATATCAGCTAAATTCCACCAAATGGGATATTGTCTTTTTTCCTCAGAGTGCAAGCAACTGCTTCAAGTGTGTCAAAATACATGGAGTCCAATATTGAGATTTCATCAATGATGAAATGTTTACAATATCTCCACTGTTAGGCGTGCCCAGGCCATGATGCCAGATGACACACTGGGAAAGAGGTCCATTTCCACTTCCACTTCCAATACCTAATGCATAAGACCATAACAACTGATAAAATTTTGAGAACACATCCTAAGCAGAACTTTGTGCCACTGGTTGTATCTGCAGAAATTTAAGTGGCTGCACCTCATTCCTTCTGAAACCCTTACCCTATAGGTAGTTCTAACCCACTTGTATGTGAAGGCTTCTTGCCATTATATTTCAAACCGTAGCATTTTTTTTTCCCTCTAGAAAAACACTGTTTACAGATCCCAATTGCAGAGAGTATGAAAAACATTATCACTGATTTCAGACCCAAACAGAGTTAACTATATGCTCAATTCCATACTGAAAACATGACAACTCTAATTCAATACAGTGACAGCACTCCCCAGATACTTCATATAATGGTGGCCTGCAATGAGTGAGGTCTTTGGTGGGTTAATGGGTAGAGGTTAGACGTACATAATTCTTCCTGAGTGCCTGTCATTTTACTGCTTGATAATGATGTAAAGCAAACTATAGCAGCATGTCTCCCAGTCTCTCACCCTAGTCTGATGACAAACTTTTCTCCAAAGTTCTGTCGTAAAAGTCTTTTCTTTTCTATTCCCCTCCTTCTAGTAACCTGTAAGAAGCGTGACCTATGAGAAAAGGAAGGCAGGTAGTGGGCGAGTTCCTCCGATATTCCTGGGAAGACTGAAAGCAACATCTACCAGCAGGACACTCCCCTTACATTATTCTCTATGCATGCCAATGGCTGTGTGATCAAAGGAATTCATCCCTTCGCTTTCGAATTTCCTTACAGGCCTGCGTCGACCAATTTCTCTACTATTGTAAACCACATCTCTTAAGCACAATTGCACGAGTATAAAAATGAGAAGCTTGTCAGCCCTCTTGCACAGGAAACCCACCTGCAAATGCATAAATCGTAGTCCCACCAATATGACAAGCTGCAGCTCCAGTACTAGCAGTTATAAAAGTATTCTGAGGTGGTAACATTGTTATGAAACGTTTCAAGACATATGACTTGTCAGTTCCGGCACTACCAGTAAAAAGCACACTCCTTTTCGCTCTTATGGCGTTTACTACTGCCATTTGTTCTGGTATACGGTTAATTTGAAAAGAACTCAAGGAGCTGAGACGTTTTCTTGCCGCTTCGTCGTGCTCGTCCGGTTGCCACAACTCGAATCCCTTTCTAATAACATGTAGTTCTCATTCACTTCGGTGTCACACCGTTCTTGTCCTCCAGCGGTCTTTTCTTATAGCCCATCGAGAAATCGAAAACATGATTTGTATCTTCTGTGGTAGAAGTTTAATCGTCGCTTTCCCTTCTTGTAAAAACCGTTTGTGAACGGTCAATTCTTTCAGGAGAAAAGTCTTTCCCAACGGAAATTGACGACTAATACATCGTATGGCGATGTCGCGAAATTCATCTCGACCCAAGACAGCTGTAATACTCTTGTAAGTTCGCCGTTTCGTGGCCACGCCATTGGAATTGAGGTTTTCCACTGTCAAGGAGCATTCTGACTCACTAGCTTCCCTCACTCTGTCGAAATTAAAGTTTAAAAACGTTTGAAAGAAAATAAAAGGTTCGATCAAAGAAATCAGTCGTCCCTTTACCTTTACAAATAAAGAGCAGTACGTTCGCTGGTGTAAATTTTGGAGTTCAAGTACATTGACCAATCACATGCAAGGAGTAAGTAGTCTCCAGTCCTCTTTGATGGGGTCTCAGGCCGGCTATGTTTTGGAAAGGAGGGTTAATGCTGGGGGAGGGAGACGGGGAAAATGAGAAAACTATTGCCCCATCACCTCCCGTCTCCTTTCTACTGACCGTCCCCTACCCCCTTGGTACCGATTTATTCTTCTCCCCAGGTTTCTGCTGCTGTAAAATCAAAGATGGCAGCCTTAATTTTCACCGAAAAAATACTGAGCATTCACTCGCCCTTCTTAAGGAGTTTTCTTTCTTGAATGGTTAATTAATCAACTTGGGAAATGAGGAGAACTTCGTCGAGCACTGCACAGAGCTTGTTTAATGTTTATACTACCAATACCAACTGTTCCTCGTGCTAGAAATGTTTCATTAACTTAAGATGATTTTGAGTGTCGGTCTGCACCAAGTATACTCTTACGGGAGGAGTGAGTCTCTTCTTGAATGTTCCTGGAGTTGGTCGAGGAGTTGCAGTTAAAGGATGGCAATCTTCCCATCCGCAAATAAATCTTCCCATCCGCTAAAATGAAAGGAATATCAGTTGCAAAGACTGCATCATTGCCACCCCTATTGTGTACCGTCCCCCTTATGCCCGTTGGATAAGATGACGTCACGTTTAAGCATCATTCATCTTTCCACGAATCCATCCGGAACCACCAGAGAGTCATTTTCTCAGAAAAGTGAGCCCCACAGTCAGACGTCCAAGGTTTCACGGATGACACAACTGTTTACCTTGACAAAAATTGCTACAAAGAGCTGAATTGAAGCCTTTAGACGCGATAAAATAAGTTGAGCGGTACAAGCTCATCCATTCAAACCGGCGCCATTGGGTAAAGCGGAATACAAAACTGTAACTCACTGGGGTAGCAAGAGGAACAAGGCTTGCCTGTGTTAACTCAGGTCAGTGCGTACACTATGCAAATCCTTTTATAGGTCAACCACATCACTTCATTAGTTTAATTTATCACTTTCGTCCACGGTATTGCGCTTGGTATTTAATTAAAATAACCTGAATATCTAACAATTATTGTACGAGAGCGCTCACTGAATATAAGATGACAACTAACCAGCGAAGCAAGTAGCGCCGAACTCGTCATGATAATCTTATATTCGACAAGCCCGTCTCAAATAATTGTGTTAGTAAAGAGGCACCCAAAAAATAACACTACCACCTTACTTTTATTGGTTTGACAACGATCGGAAGATAAACTTTCGCTTCCCGCAAATGCTATCGCAATAGGTAAACAAAATCGCTTTGCGCGCTGAGTAAACAAAAACTGCTCTATTTTCCGCTCCATTTGAAATATTTTCATACGAAATTTAGTGACGTTTTTGGTGTATATGGGAGTCGCATTTTCTATAAGTTCAATTTATCATTTCTTTAGTTGTTAGCTCGAGGGCAAAGCGATTTTTCTTCGCCATTGCTTTGCGGCCCGCTCTCAGAAATTTATTCCGCTTCACCATAGTTAGTAGAGTCCCCTCTACTAACTACGGCTTCACTGACGAATAAGGATGGGCCGATATCGATACCAAATATTCGATACCGGCGATACCGATGTCGGATAAAAAAAATAACGATACAAGCGAAGAGTATCGATTCTTTCGATGCTGCACGTGACCCACCTTGCGCTTTAATCTCCCGCGACTAAACGCTGACAGATCGTGAATGTGCGCTGTGGTATGCAATCTAGGATTGCCACAGCGTGCCGATCAAAGTGGCGGTTTCTTCCATTCCCTAGTACAACATTTCATTGTGAAATAGTACTCGATTTTATTAACTGTGAATGTAAAGTCATTCTACATGCTCTATCTTCAACGGCAACAAAATCATAACTTGCAACAACCCAGGCATTACAAAGAGATATTTAGGGGAACAAAAATGAGATGCAAACTACCATGCCTGCTTGCCAAAGAGAAACCTCAAGCAAGAAAAAGCAAAGAGAAAGGTTTAATGGTTCTAAAGTATGGCATCTCTGCATGGTCCTGTACGCCAGGGAGTCTCTGATATATCGAGTATTGAACAGCAGGATCCATAATAAGTCGGGCATTCGTGTTTGGTTGTTATTAGTGACTCGTACAGTGACTGGTAACCTTTCATTGTATGCCTAACGATCATGAATGCAAGTGAAAGTTGCATATTGCTTGATATAGTAAGTAGAAAGATTGTACCTTAGCGGCTCTTCTTCATTTTCTCGGGAAAATTGAAAATGAGTCTCAATAAATTGAAATTTTTGACTTGCTCACTTTTGATGCTACTTTACAGAACTGAACAGAAAACCGTGCGAGAATGCCTTCATTTAGTTTATCAGATCAGGTGACTTAATATTTACTTCAATCACGTCACAGTATCGATATCGATATCGAAGGAAATAGTAAACATCGTACTCGGTATCGTATCGATTTGAAAAAGCCGTATCGGTCAATCCTTACTGACGAATTGATTAATTGTTGGAGCTAGGTTATGAGCTCGAAGCTAGGTTACAAGCTCATGCATAACATGCCTCCGTTCAGCCAATCAGAACGCTAGAAATTCAATAACCGTCATCTTGTTTTCATTAATGATTGGTATTTGGCAAGAGTTCGATCAAATAGTCTTCAAACGTTCAACTGATCGCGGTCTTTTCCGTGAAAGGATTACAAATATAAGAACCTTGGAATCGATCAGTGCAAGGTTGAATATCACCGTTTACACTTTTGAGGCTAGGTGGCGCCTTCTGTATTTATTAGACATCCTACAAAAAAAAATGTTTGCGTTTAATTCGTTTCACCAACTGCCAGGCAGTGTCACCTAGTACCAACTGAAGAATGAAGAAAATATCAATCCAATTAATGTATATACAATTCGATGATCTTTCAGTGCGTTAAATATCTTTCCTCCTCAACACACCTACTGATCCTTTATTTTAATGCGTTCTAAGGTCCATCTGCCATCAGCATGTCCAGTGTGCAAAGGCTTACGACGAGGGTGGTACCAATCCCCAAAGACAAGGTTGGACTTGTTATAGGAAGAAAAGGATCACGACTACAGGAGATAAGAGATCAAACTGGAGTCTACATATCCATCAAAGACAATCAGGCCCATCTGAGAGGCACAGAAGAACAATGTCAGGATGCAAAGACAATGATTGAAGAAACACTGACAGTAAGTAAGAATAGGTGTCAAAAAAGCGGAGTGACCCTCTCTAGCTCTGGGCCATTCGAACTATAAAACCGGTTGGCTAGCCTACATGAACGCTGCATGTTCACAGGGTCCTAAATCAGTTTATAACATAACCAAAGTAAAGCGCGCGCTCTGATTGGTCAATTTAGCGTCCCCCATTTGCCCATGGGTGTACGCTGCTGACGTGAGCAAATGCAAAGACTATTTTTCCGCGCGCGCTTGTTTTTTTCTGGTCACGTAAGATTTTTTAAATAAAAGGGAACTCTTTAGCTACAATGTGTTAATGTTATGTTATAAAACAAATGGTAAACACCACAGCGTACACTATTGAGTTATGGATGTACTTGGGAGGTTTGCTAAGCACTCAAGAAGCTAGAGTCGCTCTCGGCTATCGCCTCGAGCGACTCTTACGCTTCTTTCGTGCTTAGCAAGCTCCCGCGTGCATCCATAACTCAATACTGTACGCTGTGGTGTTTACCATTTGTTAAGTAAAATGCAAAATTGTTAAAGCACAACAATATCTGTCTTGAAACGAGAGGGTTGACAGAATCGCAAACAATTTGTTTTGATACTTTGTCTTTGATTTAGCATGTGAAAGTGAGAAATGACGTATGTGGAGATGAAAAAGTACTTTTAGGAGATAAGCACTATTTTGAGGCTATGGTTGAGTTTCGGTAGATTGATTTGTAGTTGCAATCGCGGAAATCCTCTTAGTGCCAGAAAAATGAGATATCCAGGTTAGAACAGGTCATTTTACAATTGCGTACTTAGTGGCCAAGCCTTCGATTTGGAATGAGGCTGAAGGTGACCTTGTTTTGATAAAAACCAGAATCTAGTTAGCATGATAACAAAGTAATTTACATTTGAAGAACACCAATGTTTGTATCACAACAAGGTGACCCTTAGCCTCGATCCTGTTCAAAGGCTTGGCAACCCAGCGAGGAACAGTAAAATCAATTATTACAAACCACCGTGACCGACTGTGTTTCTAGGGTCCCGTAGGTCTTCCATAGCGGACTGATACAGGTGGTATCCTTAGGGGTATGAATTAGCTTGGACTGTCGTTAACCAGACGACAAGCGGCACGATAATCCCAGTCGATATTACATCGGAATCTTCCCCTGCATGAGATCTCCGTCAGGAGAGTAGGAGACTTGAAATCAACGTTATACGTGATTTTCCTTGTCATTGTTCAAGAAGAGACCTGCTGATTACCTACCTAATAACAACACCTACTTTTTACGTTACAGAGTACATGTAGTGGAAAAATTAAGTACAAAAATATATATTCTTAAGCCCCTTTTTCTAAGAAGCAGTTTTTTGTTCTCTCTATTTAAGTCTTTCAGTCCACACACGGCAATTTTCTTTGTTTCAATTTATAGAGAGCTCACGACAAAAGAGGCGGGTTCAAGAAGCTCGACGTAAAGATACCCGAGAAATTCATGGGTTTCGTCATTGGAAGAGGACGTGAGAAACTTAACGACATCGAAACTAGGACAGGCGTAGCCCTTAAAGTCATTGACAATCACCTGCACATCAAAGGATCAACTGAACAAGAAAAAAAAGTGATACGAGAAGTAAAGGCCACTGTGGTGAGTGTTTACGAGATGCAAAATGGCTGAGTAAAGAGTAAGACAAAACCAGGCCTATGCGACCTGTCATCATTTATCCCCTGAGGGTTAAAGAATTTTTAGTTGTATCGGAATAAAATTTACCAGACCCCAAGAGCTCTGTAATATCTAAGATCTCCCCTCATTGACAGTCAGTTAGCCATGTCCCCCCCCCCCGTATTCCCTTGAAACTCTGCTAAAGACGACTGATTCCCTCTTTGTTAACGTTCCTCCTGAAAACCATTTGTTTTTCATATTTTCCCTATGACGGTTGAGAAAGAACGACCTTTTCCAAAACTTAAGCTGCTTTTCAATCCTTTTGAATTGTACAATAAGGAGGTCTCCTTGCCGGTGATGGCTTTTACGGCTAACGGTTAATTTCTCTCCGTTACGTTTAGAAGAGAATTTTTACGATCAAATTTAATAAAAACATTTGTCAAATTTTTCCGCTTAAAGTTAAATTTTTTGCACGGTTGAAATTAATTTGTCTGATGTAGTTTCTCCTCGTTAGAATATCGATCTGTTATATTGGTACAGTGTAACGTCACACGTTAAACATGAATGACTAAAATTTTCGGCGAAGTGCTATTACTAGCCATATGAGATGTCCGTGTGACCTAAATTCGCGACACAGGATTGGTGAACTCCAGATCCCCTTGGGATCTTCAAAAACGATTAGCAACATTTTCCTTGGAAATGAGGCCAATTTTCTAAGCTCTCAATGAGGAACACATTGCTTATTACGGTATGTAGCACTACTGAATCTTTTCTCTTTTCGTCAAGAACCTAGGAATGAAACGTTCACTGAGGGTTGAACCTCTTGCGAGGTTTTGTTATGTAGATACGGCTCAACTAAAGGATGATCACGAATTTGAATTGCACAAGATACGATCAGAAGAAGCCAGCTCGATTGAAAAATCCTTTCAACTTAGGCTCCTGGAACATCCCTTAGAAGAGGTATGTGGCTCTGTGTCGCCTTGACAGGGGCATCCTGAGTTGACAACTTATCTGCCGAGTGACATCTCTTGGCAAATTTTGGTCTGTAATTGCGTAGATTGTCCCTTTATTTGATTTCATTGCCACTGCTCAAACGTATGAGATTCATTTAGGAAACACATTATTTCATATGTGCAAGTCTGATTATTGTCGTCTACTGATACGCTTAACACGCTCAAGCTAAATTTTACCAGCATTGGAACGGCTTTTCTAGTTCAAAACTTGAAGAAATCTTAATCTGATTTGATAACGGTAAGATTTAAAAGCTGAAGGCAGCCTTCGAGCTCACTTGCTCGATTGGAAAGAGTCTAGCTGGACTAAAAAAAAAGCAACAACTAAAACAAACAAAGCAACACAAAAGTCCAAATCAATAACTAAACAATTTACACATGACCTTACACTCATTTTTGAAGGAAATGGTTTGAACTCGGAGTAATATAACAATCAATTACTTGAATTGATTTTCCAACTGAAAACACCACCAACAAAATTCCCTTTCAAGAATCTTCTCGCCCGAACGAATTCAACACACGATTAATTACGTTTGTATCTTAATAGGAAAAGTCTGATTTTGCTGACACAGACAGTCTGATCGAAAAGATCCTTGGGGTCTTAAAGCAAATACACAAAGAGAAGGAGGAAGGAGAGATGGTCAAAGTTGATATGTGGAGTCATTTCGGCCACGCCCACATTAGCAGGATTGATGAAGGTAAGAGAATCTCTTTGGGGGGAGGGGAGGGGAGGAGAGGCACTGGTGAGGCCAAGGGAAGAACGGGCTTTATTTTTTACGACATTTAAATGGCATAAAATTATCAAGGCCACTCTCGAGGGAGAAAAAGAAGACATTGATTGAACGTGACGTTTTAAATAAGCTAGTAACTGCGAAAGTACCCATAGTTTCACAAGATCGATTCAGTCGCTTGAATGAAGATGAACTGCGAAGTTGTTAAATTCAGATTTTCATTCTTTCTGTAGAAGAAGAGGAGCAGACGTTTACTTTGAATGAAATCAAACATAAACTTGAATCCACGGATGGCAAAAGCTGGAAACTGTCCTTCAAGGAGGGCGTTGAGAAAATAGAAGTTGAGGAAATTGAGAAGAATCTCACTTCCTGTTCAGCTACTGAGGATATCAGACATGACTTCACATTTTACACCCCTTCTTGCCGAGATATACGTGTTAAGGTATTTAAAATCCATCCTCTCAAAAATTAAGATTGCGTGTTAGTTTGATTCTTTTGAAATCAAACCAAACAACCCCAAGACATTCTGGTGTTATTTATCTGACAAGATTGACTATCAGCACTTGAAGGCTCTAATAAGCATTATTGTCACTTTGTCAGGCTTTGCGGCGCATTTTGCGGACAAAGATGGAGATTTTGGTGGGCTAAAATGTATTTCAGCTCGTTCGTTTGCCCTTGTAATTGTCCAGACAGTGTTATTGTCATTTTGTTCGGTTTTTATTTTCCCGAAGCCTTCCAAATTGATATTAATAGTAATACATGTTAATTCGTTGAGCATAATTATGTTTTGGACCCTTCTCGGAGTCATTTTAAACCCTCGCCTTGCAGCTTCGGGCCAATCTCGAGCCCAGGGTCACTAAGCTCCTTGTCAGCGGTACGGTCGCCAAATAATGACGACCATGCCGCTGACAAGCAGCCAAAATGACCCTTGACTAGAGATTGAGCTCGGCCTAAAATGACTCTAAGTCGGGCTCAAAAAAAATCTTTATTCCCGTGAACATAAACTTTGTTTAATATCTTTTAAAAGTCACGTTTGAAAATCAGGACTTTGAATATAAAACGTTGCTCCCTACAAAATGTGTCCATTTACAGAGAATCTTCGACTGCTCCAATCGCTTTCTTAGTTTACATACCGCCTCGGTCACCTCTTTCGTTTTGGTTGAGGAAAAGGATGCGTTATCGAGATGCGTTGACCGTGTGGGCGTGGGAGAAGCTGGGGAAGGGCGAAGTTTATTCAGCAAACTATGGAGGTGGGCCAAATGTTCCAATGGGAAAAGGGTAATCTAAGTTTGGTATTTAATTTACCACAAGTATCCGCTGCTCTTTTTATTCCGAGGTATGGCTAGAGGAGGAACACTCTAAGGAAGAAGGGGCTGCAGAGCCTTCTCTGGTATTCTCTCGGTTTGCTCCTATTCCTGTTAAAAACGTTTTGACTCGAGTATTGTCTGAGGAGGAAACTGGGGATACGTCGGACACGCCGAACTTTCACATGTGCTCTCAGTTTCATCATAGAATGAGAGCGGAGATTTTGATGCCCTCCAAGGGATTCGACTGCCGTTTGTCAATACGAACATGTGAGTCGGTGAAGTATGAGTAGAAGAGAGTAATAACGAGCAATTAAGCGCGCTGAGGGAAAGTTTTGAATTTTAATAATAAATACACAAGTACGCTCGACAAAATTCGCGACTACGCGACTAGCGTATTACATGTCGAAAATCCACTGGATAGAAAAAGAACCAAAAGAAAAAAAAGATGGAGCTACATCTAGCATGCATGCAGGGCTATCTCTACCCAAAATGAAGATGTATCATCTTCATTATTATGTTCTCCCATGAACAGATAACAAACCGTCATATCTAACCATGATTTCTGTCAATTCAGTATTCACATATTCCACTAGGCTCGAATATCCCGAAGACGCCAGAAGTTGAGGAAGAAGACATGATTCTAGAAAGTTACTTGAATAAGATGAAGCTTGATGGAAGTCAGCTGAGGTTACCACCAGTCACTGAGCTTCCAGAAGGGTTTGACCTGTTTTACCAACGCCGCAGCCTAAGGAGAACATATCAGTACGAAATGGAAGGAGAAAAATTTACGTTAACTGTTTGTAAGGAACAAGCAAAACACGTGGATATCGATCATACTGATGACAGTGTATACGGCTTGGACGAAACAGAACCGAAGGTAACTTTTAGCCAGGCCATAACGTAACCACATTCCTCCACAAGGAATAAGGAACAGAGAACTAGCGATCCATGTCTGGATGGGTTGAAATTATCAGTGTAACTGTAAATTTTTTGTTTTTGCTTTCGTGTTTAATGTTTGTTTTTTCTTTTTGTGAAAAGCCGGACATTCATCTCCACTGTGAAGAATGGGACCAAAAACTTGATGAAGGAAGCTGGGAGCCGG